CCCACGGATGTACCGAGCCCCTCCCGGTCTCCAGGTGGCACAGGGGGCCCTGAGCCTGGGGGAGTGACGGGCGCCACGCCCCAGGGATCGCGGTGCTGCCCAGGGGCTGCCGAGAGGAGGGGCAGGTGGCCCCACAGCCTCTCCAGGGAGCACCCCGAGAGAGAGAGCATATTAGAGAAATAGGTTAAGATTCCCAGCAAAATTGGAGTCCCTGGTGAGGTTGATGATTATACATTTTTGGTGATATTAGTTTTTTCATTTATACACAAATTTCTTATTCTCTAGGCAGGGAGGTAAGACCCAAACTGAAAACAAGGTCTCAACATGTCATCATTCAGTCTAGCATGCATTGTGATAAGTATAGAGGGTTTATTTCTATGTTTACTGGTGGAGCTGAAGAGCCATCTTAGTTCCCCATTCCCTTAATACCTCCAGTTTGTTTCCTGAGGTGCTGGGCTAGAAAGTGAAGGTGCAGAAGGTTTGCTGATGATAGAGAGGATCTTCAAGGCCCAGGAGAAGGGCTTGGGAGAGAGGAAGGTGGGTCAGGTTGATGGGCATGAGGTACAGAGAAGCCTGGTGGTGGGAATCAAGGAAAACATGGCCATTCGGGACAGCACTGGAACTGGAACACAGGAATTGGGGCCAAACAGCACTGGTCCAGGAGGAGGACAATTACAGTGGCCCAGAAACAAGGACCAGTGCAACCAGGTATAATTCATTTATTCTTTTAAACCTTGCTGAGCCTCAGCGTGCTCGTTTGCAAAGTGGGAAAACAGTAGCACCCACCTCACAGTCAATGAAGACTGCCCTGGATTGTGCATGTGAAACTTACAGCACAGCCCTGGAGGGTGGCTGTGAAGGCCACCACCCCTCCGGCAGTCCCACAGAGAGTCCTGTGTTTCTCTGACTCTGATTTGGTCCCTGCCATGCACTCTCCCTCCTTCCTCCATCATAGCCTGTCCACAAAGCTTTGCGGGCTGTTTCTGGGCACCAGTGGGTACTGTGGTACCTTGCCTTCCTGACCTATCCTATGCTCTCTGACGATGTGTGTCTTTGCTGGCACTTCTTGTGCGGTTCCTTTTCTGAGTGCCAATAATTGAGCAGCTTCCAGTGCTCAGGCCGCTTGACTCTGTGGCTCTCATCCTAACGTCCCAGGAAACAAACAGCCCTGTAGCAGCAAACATCGCCAAATGAGTCCATGATGAAACAGTAACATCCTGTGTGGGTGCCGAAGGCGGTGAATGAGGTCATCTCTAAGACAGATGTGAAATGAATTACTCAGATGATCAGCTCTTCTGGGAAGATAAGCCCTGGCAAGGATAGAGCTGTATATTTCTTAGAATTCTTTACAACAATAACAACCATTTTTTGAGCATTTGGTATCTGCAGCTGTGCTAAGAGCATTGGCTGCACTCATTCATTTAATACTCCCAGAAATCCTAAAAGTATTGGAATCATCCCATCTTAAAGATGAGGAGACCAAGACTTGGGGGCAGGGATCAGGCTGCCTCAGTGTAACCACTCTGTCCTTTGGAATTGTCTTGACCCCCACAACTGCCTTTTCCACCTGAGATCTCAGTCAATCCTCACATCCACATTCCTAATGTATCCCTCATTTTTGTTCATTTCCAGGTATAGGTCATCTTTGTTCCCAGGCAACATGGAGACACTGACAATCCTGAACAATTCCCCAATGGTCACGGAGGTGTTCTTCTGTTTCCAGAATGATGTCAAAGCAAATACCTACTTCCTGGAACCCTTGAACATGATTCTCAAACCCAATGAGAAGCAGGTACAGCCCCATGGAGACCAGTCCACCAGGGTAAGACTTTCTTGGGAAATTTGAGGCCTTGGTATCCTCGGTGTAAATGCCCTTTGTTTCGCCTCTTCCACTAGATACTGACCGTGTGGGCCTACCCCACTGCAGTTGGTATCTTTGAAGACAGCATAGTCTGCTGCATCAAGGAGAACCCGGAACCAGCCATCTTCAAATTAAGCTGCGAGGGGGTCCGCCCAGAACTGGATGTGGAACCCAGGCAATTGCATTTTGACCGGCTTCTGCTGCACAGGTCAGCGTTCTCGATGCCACCAGGACTGGGATGGAATTGAAGGAGTATTTAGTTCTAGGGTGGCCAACTCATCTGGATTTGCTCAGGGCTTTCCTGGCTTTAGCACTTAGAGTCCCACATGATGGGAAACTTCTGGTCCTGTGCAAATCAGGATGGTTAGTAGCCCTATTTGCTGGACTTCAGCCGCATCAAGACACCCCCCACTCCCACAAGATCAACTGCCAAAGTGTGAGCACATTTGCATTTTTCTCAGAAGAAAGACTAGCTTTTTCCCCATTCTCAAAGCAGCCCATTACCCTAAAAGTTTAAGAATATTTAGCCTAGAGATTATAGCACAAACAGAGAACATTAGCTCAAAACCAGAACTTACATATTTGTTCACTGGAATCTATGATTCTAAATAGAGAATGTTTCTTTCTGGAGCTGCTGGGACAGAATGGATGAGATGATATTATGATATGGATGTTGCATTCTTTGATGGATACTGTCAGGCCCCATTCCTTGATAAATACTGATTAGTGAACTGAGCTATAATTGAAATAACCAGAAGTACTTCCTCTGACCTGCCACAATAAATCAAAACCACTTGAAACTGACAAAATATCTTCTGGTCTCTGCAGAAAAGAATCCAAAGTAGTTCTTTTCCACAACGTCACGGCCCTGCCCGTGGCCTGGCGGATCACCAGCCTGGAGCACCTGGGCGAGGACTTCTCCGTGTCCATGCTGCAGGGCACCATCCCCCCCAAGGCTGACTACAGCCTGCAAGTGCACTTCCAACCCTCCAAACCCGTCAACATCAAGAAGGCGTTTCGGTTGGAGGTGAGGCTTCACCCATCTTCAGACTTGGTCGTCAAAATGTGTACACACTGGGATCTCTGACTCACACCCTACCACCACATACACACACACTGCCAACACAAATACACACAACCTTCCACACACACCGCCCACAACACCTTGCCAACACATACACACACACTGCCAACACAAAAACACACAACCTTCCACATCACACCGCCCACAACACCCTACCAACACATACACACACACTGCCAACACAAATACACACAACCTTCCACACACACCGCCCACAACACCCTACCACCACATACACACACACTGCCAACACAAATACACACAACCTTCCACACACACCGTCCACAACACACTGCCAACACATACACACACACTGCCAACACACACTAAGCTGGGTCTCCCTGTTACACACTCTTATCTAATCCCATTTGACAGCCCCAACCCACAGTTTCTGCTCTGCACACCCTGTAAGCTCCCTGAAGGCAGCCTCCTTCATGGTGGGTTTCCCAGTGCTAAGAACAGAGCACTCAATCCGTGCCGAGTAAAAGAGTGCTTGACGAAAGAAAAGATGGAAACTCCGAGTTAAAACTCGAATTTGGTGATATTCACAAACTTCCCTCTTGGCACCCAAAGCACCAGTGATGGGGAGTGGTGACAACTTGTCAACTTGCGGCTTCGGCAGAGAAGCGGGCGATCTCTAGGCAGACGCAGGAGAGCGGTACCCACAGCCCAGTGCCCTTCACCTTGACAGACGGACCATTCCCACCCCCTCACTAGTCTCAGGAGTCAATGGTTGGGTCCAGCTGACACCAGTTCGGATGTTTCTTGGGACAGTAAGGGAGGAATTACCCCCAGGGGTGACAGCAGAGGGGGACAGGGAGCAACTGGAGGCTGGGGCCTTGCTTTTGTTTTCTTGTTTTTGTCTTTTACATTTCTGACGTTAATAGTAGTAATGTTCATGCAAATAAGGCATTTGAAACTTGCAGAAGAAAAACATTAAACACTTTTTATGAAAAATCTAGGACTTTTTCTACGTATTAAGCCAGAAACAAAGAACAGAACAATTCAGATTTACCAAATAGGTAGAGCAAGGATGATGAACAATATACAAGTGTTCCATTTCCATTATCGGAAGAGTGCTCTTCAGGTTTATTTTATTTCAGAGTTCTAAAGAACACTTTTCTGCAATGTATACTCACAGCCCAGACTTCAACAATATTGCAACAATCATGCAAATAATTTAAACACAGTAATTGGACAAGATAGAAAATGCGGTCTCATTTTCCCATTCTTATATTGATGGTCTACACCAGCATTCCCCCAAAGGGTGCTATGAAGAACACTTATCCTACCAAATGTTCAGTGAAGGCCAAATTCAAATATATTTCAAAAATAATCCTAACCCTAGCTGGTTTTGCTCAGTGGATAGAGCGTCAGCCCACTGACTTGAAGGGGCTCAGGTTCGATTCCAGTCAAGGGCACGTACCTCAGTTGCAGGTTCAGTCCCTGGCCCTGGTCAGGGCTTGTGCAGGAAGCAGCTAATTGATGTGTCTCTCTCACATTGCTGTTTCTCTCTGTGTGTCTCTCCCCTTCCCTTCTACTCTCTCTAAAAATCAATGGGAAAATACCCTCAGGTGAGGATTAACAAAAAAATAAAAACAAAATTCTATTCTATAGGACATACCCATAGGATAGAATTTTTTAAAAATAAATATTCCTGCCCTAACTGGTTTGACTCAGTGGATAGAGCATTGGCCTGTGGACTGAAGGGTCTCAGGTTCAATTCCAGTCAAGGGCATATACCTTGGTTGAGGGCACATCCCCAGTGGGAGGTGTGCAGGAGGCAGCTGATTGATGTTTCTCTCTCATCAATGTTTCTAACTCTCTATCCCTCTCCCTTCCTCTCTGTAAAAAAAAATCAATAAAATAAATTTTTAAAAATAAATAAATAAATAAATAAATAAAATATTCCTATCACATTTCTTTCATGATTCCCACTGCGTGTTACGTTGTTCAGGCTCTAAGCACCTCCTGGGTCTTGCTTTTACTGAAGACTCTCTCTCTCATCCCAACAGATTTTGGACCCAGACAATCTTGTTGGAGTTGTTCAGATTGAAAACATCATGATCATCGCAGAGTCCTACGACATGGCCTTGGACATCACCTTTCCCAAAGGTGTTTAGCAGTCACATCTTCTGGTGCAGTGTAGTGCAGGGTGACAAGAACTATACTGGGTGGAGGGTGACGTATCCTGAGATGGGAATCTTTTGGTGCAGTATAGGCGGTTATTGGAGGAGGGGTAGAATTTCAGTAAATAGTAACGCGCGCCCCAGAGTGATGTTAGCAACATTACAAGAATCTCAGTTTATCCAGCTGGAAACAACGGCAGGGGAGCGGGGGGTCATGTAGATACAACATTTGCGGAGCTCTTTTCTGAGCAGTCATCTGAGAGTGAGTACCATCTTCCTGCCAGTATTAGTTTTCTATCACTGTTGTAACAAATTCCCACAAACTTGGTGGCTTCAGACAATAGAAATGTCTTATCTTTCAGCCCTGTGGATCACAAAATCCAAAATGAATGTCACTGGACTAAAATTAAGGTGTTGGCAGGGCTGCATTCCTTTCTGGAAACTCTGGGCAAGACTCCATCTCCTGGCCTTTTCCAGCTTCGAGAAGCCACCCCCATTTCTTGTCTCATGGTCCCCTTCCTCCATCTTCAAAGGCAGGAATGTTGGGTCAAGCCTTTCTCACGTTGCCGGGTCTCTGGTTCTCCCATGTTTGTCTCCCTCTTTCACTTTTAAGGATTCTTATGATTATATTGGGTCCTTCAGGGAATCCAGGATCATCTCCTCGTGTTAAAGGCCGACGATCAGCAACCTGAATCCCATCTGATACCTTTATTCCCCGTTGCTATGTAAACTAGCACGTTCCCAGGTTCTCTTGGGGCAGGAGTGGCATGATTCTGCCCACCGCATGGCCCCATCACCCAGCTTAGATAGAGCCTTTGACCATGCCCTTTCCCACCTCCCTCCTTTCTCTGATAGATCGCAACAAGATTCATAGAATGTTAGAACTACATGTTTGCCTAGATGTCATCAGTCTCATGTACAAAGATAGTTACCACAGCATTATTTATAACAATGGAAGAGTGGAAACAACCTGAATTTCTATCAGTAATGGAATACTGTTATTGTAGGAATAATACTGTAAATTATGGAACAGCCATATCACGATATGTCGTACACCCATTAAGATCACATTGAGGATGCGCTGGCCAGTTTGGCTCAGTGGATAGAGTGTCAGCCCACAGACTGAAGGGTCACGGGTTCCATTTATGTTCAAGGGCATGTACCTTGGTTGCAGGCTCTGTTCCCCGGCCCCAGTTGGTCAGGGCACGTGTGGGAGGCAACCATTCAATGAATCTCTCTCACACCAATGTTTCTCTCTCTCTGTCTTCTTCCCACTCTCTCTAAAAATCAATGGAAAAATATCCTGGGGTGAGGATTAACAATAACAACAAAAGATCACATTGATGAGGAGTTGTTAATTATGTGTGGAAATTGTTATGATGTAATGCTAAGTAAAGCAACACAAATTTATATATAACTAGAGGCGCAATGCACAAAATTCATGCACAGGTAGGGTCCCTAGCGGCTGCCCGCTGCTGGCTGCCGGCTGGGGCCTCCTTCCCCCCAACTGCCTGCTGCCACCACTGCCGCCACCACAGGCAGCCAGGGCAGGGTCGGCCATGGGGAGGGGCCGAAGGCTGTTGGCTGGCCAGCCCCACCCCCCGGTGGAACTCCCAGTGGAACTCCTAGTTGAGGGGACAATTTGCATATTAGGCTTTTATTATATAGGATATCCCAACTCTGTACACCATACGCTTAGTGCAAAAAAATTGTTTGAATACTGGGAGTTTTAGCCACTGGGAGACATAAAAGGACAGTGATCCTAGGATAGAAGCCAGAGGGAGCTGCCCCATTGAATCGGGTGCAAGAGCAGTGTCTGTTGTTTGCGAAGATGCAATTTCAAAAGCTTTTCTAGCCATGATGTTTTCAGAAAGCAAATTCTCTGCAATTATCACCATGGCTTTTCCACATGACATGCAATAGGAAGTCCCCCTGCTTCTTGTTCCTACGCCCACTTATCCTCCCCATCCCGGCCCTGGCCTCTGCAGGAGCTGAAGGAGGCCTCGATTTTGGGACCGTGAGAGTCATGGAGGAAGTGAAGCAGCCCCTGCAACTGAAGAACCGTGGGAAATATGAGATCATGTTCAGGTAACCTGAAAACCATCCGGCATGTGGTCATCTGTGTCCACTCCTGGAGAGAAAAATGTGTCTGAGGGATTTTTTAAAAATGTTTGGGGCAAGCATAAGGACCATCTCTGCTTTTAGCCTCTCCTGGTTTCAATGAAGGGAGTTCCAACTGCTAAGAGAGCAGAGATGCTCACACTGCTCTCAACTCTGTGGCTTTGTGGAGACCCTTAAGGGCCCTCTGAAGGCACCTAGTGCCACGGGGCCTGAGGGGGAGATGCTGTGAATAGGAGATACTGGGAGGAGGAGGTCCTGGGGTAGAGGGAGAGACAGAGATGGGGAACCTGGCCTCAAGCTGCCCTGCCCTGTCTTCAGCTCCTCTGTTTCATAAATTGGCATTCTATATAAGATTTCAGGTGGGTAGATGTTCCAATTTTCTTTTTTAATTTTAAGAAGCACTGTTTGTATACATTCCTAATGGCAGCCTACTGGACTAGAGGTTCAGCTTATGCTCATCTCTTGAGATTAAAAATATGGTGATAGCCCAGCCAGCGTGGCTCAGTGGTTGAGTGTCAACCTATGAACCAGGAGGTCCCAGTTCTATTCCTGGTCAGGGCACATGCCCAGGTTGCTGGCTCGATCCCCAGTAGAGGGCATGCAGGAGGCAGCCGATCAATGATTCTTTCTCATCATTGATGTTTCTCTCTCTCTCCCTCTCCTTTCCTCTCTGAAATCCATATATATATATATATATATATATATATATTAAATATGGTGATAGCCAGAGGGAAAGGGGATGTGGGGATGTGGGGATGTGGAGAGGGGAAAGTGGGAAAAGGTGAGATAAATGGGAATAGAAAGAGATTTGACTTTGGGGTGGTGAGCGCACAATGCAATATGCAAATGATGTTTTATTGAACTATACACTTGAAGCGTGTATGGTCTTATTAACCAATGTCACTTCAATAAATTCAATTTTTTAAAAATGAAAGACTAAATAAGGGAGTTTCCTGAGAGAGGAAAGGGTGGTGCTTGGTGGGGGGAGGGAAGAGGTCACTCAGGTAGGGTCACACAAACCTCAGTGGCAGTGCCAGCACCCACGGCCAATCTATTTCTATGAAAAGTCATCCTTCCCCCAGAAGAATTCACAGCTGATAAAGGGACTTCCCCTTCACAGATTTGGAAGAAATTCAATGTATTCGTGATAGTTTTTTTTCGCTCAGAAAATGCTGAAAATTCGAGAGGTGCCACTTTAATACCACCATTAGTTAGAACCATGTATTGGAATAAATAAATACAAATGAAAGCTTAACAGACGTAAAAGAAAGCCACTGGCACTCAGGCATTAATGCTGAATGCAACTGTGCCTGTTGGCGAGTTTTGTTTCAGGTTAAGGCAGGGTGTTAGCTCCGCTCTTTCAGGTCACATGGAAGAGTCACCCTCTGGTTCCAACAGGTGATGAGGGGATTGTGCGGGGAGGTGAGGGAGCGCAGGCACCTGCAGGCAGCAATGGCGTGACCAGGTCCCCTGGGGCATGAGGATGACATGCAACTCCAGGTGTCCCATCTCAGCTGAAGTTCCTGCTCCTTCTCCAGTCCCCTGCCATTTTCACGAGTCAGCTCATCTCTGTGGTATCTCACCTCACCTCCACGGGGCCACAGCCCCCCTTTCTGAAGGCCTCTCTTACAGGGCTCCTGCCCCCGCCCCCCCGCTTTCTCTTCTTTCCTGGATCCCCTGTCTTCTGTGTCACTGTTCCTTCTGTGTGTGTTGCACCCAGTCTCAGAAAGGGGAGGGAGGGAGGGAGGGAGGGAGGGAGGGAGGGAGGGAGGGAGGGAGATGAATTAATATAGTTGATCCTTATCCAGCATCAAGTGTCCCTGTTGGACAGAGATTTCCTGCTAGGGCACCACTTCACCACAGGCTGGAGATGGCTGTCTTTGCCTCAAGCATCACTCACTGGCTAAGGATGGGTAGTCACAGAGTGCAATGCATAGTGGACACTGCTAGGCCAAGTAGTTAACCAGGGCCAGAGGCATGGCAGGCACTTAACAGTCTAGAGCAGCGGTTCTCAACCTGTGGGTCGCCAACCTGTGAGTCGAGACCCCTTTGGGGGCCGAACGACCCTTTCACAGGGGTCGCCTAAGACCATCAGAAAACACATATATAATTGCATATTGTTTTTGTGATTAATCACTATGCTTTAATTACGTTTAATTTGTAACAATGAAAATACATCCTGCATATCGGATATTTACATTACGATTCATAACAGTAGCAAAATGACAGTTATGAAGTAGCAACAAAAATAATTTTATGGTTGGGGGTCACCACAACATGAGGAACTGTATTAAAGGGTCGCGGCATTAGGAAGGTTGAGAACCACTGGTTTAGAGTCTGCTCTCTAGTATCTTGGGTTCCCTGGATAATGACTCATACTAACCTTTATTCTTATCTTCCAGCTTTTCTGTGGACTCCGTAGGCATTACATCCACCAACATAAATTCTATGATCTCAGTCCAACCTAGGAAGGGCTCCATGTCCACAACAGATAAGCCCACAAATGTCCAGGTGTTGTTCCGCGCAAAAAAGGAAGTGAAGATAGAGCAACAGCCAATCCTGCGCTGTCAGGTGAGAGAGCTCAGTGGCAGGCTTGTGGGACACATGTAAAAAAGAAGAGCACACGGTCTACCCATGCTCCAAGCGGGGGAAAGGGAGGGCTGGCCTGGGTGGCAACCAGAGAGGACGCACCAGCGTTTGGTCCCCAACTAGTAGGTCCAGGTAGGTCAGGTGGGAGGTAGGCAAAGTCATCAGAATTGAGAGCTCCAGAAAGGCAATGTGGACCCTGCTCTTTGGGGAGCACCTGAGACAAGGAAGCCGAGGTTAGTCATCAAGTGCAGAGGAGGAGTGGGGAAGTGAAAACGGGAGGCAAAGTTGGTCTGTGTCAGCCATTTTCAACAGGCGTGCCCCAAGGATGTTTAAAACATGCAACACCTGACTGTTTAGTCAGGGGCACTGACCTCTTTTCCCTTAGACTGTCAACTTAAAAAATGACAACAGCCAACACAACAATAGCCATCTAGTGTGAACGAATCAAAATTATACCTTTTTTTTTGTCAGATTGGCAAAAAATATATTTTTTGGTGTGCCGCAGAATTTTAGTAATTAGTGTCTATGAGAAGGTTGAAAATCTCTAATGGGTCATTCTGACATAAATAGAATTGGGATTGAAACCTGTCAAGTATTCATTTGTCATATTTAATTGCAATAATATAAAGAGAATGAAAGGAACATGCCTTCATGCCAACGAGGAAAATAGGCAATGAATTAGACAGCCAGTGGAATTCTGGAGCTATGCCGGTAGCTGATGTCTTCCCAATCCTCCTTTCCTTTCTAGATCATTGAGCCCAATATGGCAGACGGAACTGAAATCATTGCCAGCATCCCAATTAGGCTTTCTGTGAATGCAGTGTTCTCCAAATACAACATCAGCCCCTCCTCCATCATCAACTTTGGGGCTCTGATCTGTGGCACTCGTAAAAGCACCACCTTCACCATAGAAAATCAAGGTGTTACTGACTTCAAGTATAACCTCTACAGGATGACAGGGGAGAGCTCCATTCCCCAAAAGAAAGCGTAAGACAGCTATTTGCTTGACTCATGCCATTCCCTAGTTAATTAGTGCTTGATATTTTACAACGAGCTTTCATATATTTTATCTAAATTCACCTTATTCCCTGTTGTGAGTGAGGTCATTAAGAAACGACTCATGCGCCCTGGCCGGGTGGCTCAGTTGGGTGGAGCGTCATCCCATACACCAACAGGTGGCTGGTTCAATTCTTGATCAGGGTACATACCCAGGTTGTGGGTTGGATCTCCAGTCAGGGCGTGTGCAAGAGGCAACTGATCACTGTTCCTCTCTCTCTCTCTCTTCCTTCCTCTCTCTAAAAATAAAAAATGACTCGTCCAAGATTAGCCAAGAAATCACACCAGTAGATCTCAATTGTGACCCCACATCTCTGACTCCAGATTTCACATACTTTCTAATTAATTAATTAAAATTGTTTTATTCATTAACTTATAGTTGACTTTCTAATAAATTGTTTAAATCAGATATACATACAGCTTTACATTGTTTGTAGTTGTTTTACACTTTTGTGGATAGCCTCTTTCATTTTGGCAATGTATTAAGAGATTTTTTGTTAAACTGTCGAAAGTCTCTATCTTCCTCATTTAATTTCAACCTAATATTTTACTTATTTTATAATAATTTAATAATGTTTATAGATATTATAATACAACTGTGTGTTGCTTTAAATTGTCTTTTATTTATTTTTCACTTTAGCATGCACAAATTCATGCAAAATACTCAAAAGAGGATAGAACTTCAGTTGTTCTATCTTCAGTTGGTCATTAAGCAAGTGAATGCTCAAATACATAAATCTCTCAAAAGGTTAAAGTTGCACCTCAAATACATTTGGATATTTTAGGGGAACTAGCCTCCAGGAAAATTAATTGTTGGGTAAACTAGCTTCAAGTGAAGTGAACAGTTACCCAAGCTTGTGTTTGTGCTATTCTTTACCTCTTAAAAATACCATGACAGCCCTGATCTGTTTGGTTCAGTGGATAGAGTGTCGGCCTGCGGACTGAAGGGTCCCAGGTTCGATTCCGGTCAAGGGCATGTATCTCAGTTGTGGGCACATCCCCAGTAGGAGGCGTGTAAGAGGCAGCTGATCAATGTTTCTAACTCTCTATCCCTCTCCCTTCCTCTCTGTAAAAAAACCAATAAAATATATTTTTTAAGAAATACCGTGACTGCCCTGGCCAATTTTACTCAGTGGTTAGAGCCTCGGCCTGCGGACCGAGGGGTCAAAGGGTCTATTCCTAGTCAAGGGCACATACCTGAATTGCAGGTTCCCCAAACCTCAGTAGGGGCGTGTGCAGGAGGCAACCAATCAATGTGTCTCTCTCATGCCAATGTTTCTCTCTTTCTCTCTCCCCCTCCTCCCTCCCCCTCCCTTCCACTCTCGCTAGAGATCAATTGGGAGGGGAAAATATCCTCCCAATTAATTGAGGATTAAAACAAAAACAAAAAAAGAGCATCATGACTACAAATGTGAAGAAAGGGCCAGAATTTAATCTATTGACCATTTCATTTTTTTAAATGAGATCAGGTAAAAGATTTGATGTCTACAAGTAATTTCTACACACTGCTTTCCAAAGAACTCAAGTAAACATTTAAAAACTATTATTCTCTTGCAGAATAATTTTCAATGTCCTGATGAGTCATATGTAATAAGTACAATTACTGCATAATTTTCTCACCGTTGTTAAATGACTTTGGCTAATGGTGAATGCTGACTATACTACCCCAATGTCCTCTTTAGGCAAAAAAAAAAAAGGGGGCCTTCCCCCATTCCTAGGAGAAGGGACCTTGCAAGCAGACAGACAGGTGGCATTTAACGTCACCACCCCCATCTAAGGGTGTATGTACTCTTGCTTCTTTAATTAGTGTCAGCCACACGAGGACTTTAAGATCCCGGGAAAGCGAGAACTTCTACAAGGCTACCCCTTCCAGAGCAGCCAAGTTCTCAGAAACTGTTCAGAAAGAAATAAACATCACTAGCCAGGTAAGGACCCTTTCTCTTGTCCAAAGAAACCCTGTAAGACCACCTTCCAACTAGTCCTTGCACAAACACTCCCCTTCCCAGGATAGCAGGAATGTTCAATAGTTATACTGAAATACCACTTTCATTTTAAGACCAGGTGTTATGGCCTTTAATTTGGATATCCTCTTTAGTTTTAAAACCCTCATGGGCTCCTCACTGCCTTCCGATTACATTTCAACTCTTTATATATATTATATTTAGCAATCTTTTGCTCATAAGAAACAGGAGCCCATTAAGACTGGCTTAAATAAAAGGAGATTCAAAGACACCTGCTTCTGGTAAGATGGAGTGAGATATACTTTTCCCTACCCTTCCCAAACCAAGTACAACTAAACCCCTGGACATTACGTATGAAACAGGCGGAGAGAAAACAGATCAGATCAGTGAGGGTCCTTGGGACCCAATGAATATCACGGTGGTGAGTTCCCTGGGTTTTCTTTTTGCCTCATATATCTCATCGGGATGCTGAAGGAGCTGGCAACACAAAAACATCACCAGGCACAGATCCAAAAAAGGCCCCAACAAAAGCCTGTTCCCACTGGCCAAACAACCAGGACAAGAGCAGCCTAGTAAACCAGAAATCTTCAAATAAGACCTGTCCTATGACAGTTGAACATGACAAAACCTAGGATCCTACCGCACCATTGCTAGCAAAGGACCGTGGGAAGACTCTCACCCTATCCAGGTTATGAGGAGGTGCCTCAACCCCCGGCCAGAATGGTGTCCCAGGAACACCCAGGGGGTAGCCAGGAGTTTCAAGACCCTCCCCCCGCCCCCATTGTTAGTGGAGACACCACATGGGAGCCTTGAGTTTCACCTGACCCAATGGTAACAGACGTTTCTCCCCCACGCCCAGTGGACCTCCCCACCCAGGCAACAACAGTAAGGAAGCTCTCCTCCCCTGCCTTGCCAGGGAGGTAGCTGTTGAGGACTAGTGGGGAGCTGGAGCCCCCACCCTTGCCTGGCAGAAATGAGCGGTCTGAGTGGGGGATTGGACCCCCACCCCCACCTGGAAGTGATGAGGCAGTGCTTCTCTCCCCGCTGCCGAGAGGTCTCGGAGAAAGCCAGGTCAAAGAGGTTTAAGTAAGATCCAGAGTCTCGTAATATAACACCCAAAATGTCCAGGTTTCTCCTGAAACTCGCTTGTCATACCAAGAGCCAGGAAGATCTCAAACTCAATGAAAATAGTCAAGCAACATATGGCAACACCGAGAGGACAGAGCTGTTAGGATTATCTGACACAGACGCTGAAGCAGCCAACATAGAAGTGCTTCTGTGAGCAAGTACTCACACCTGGAGCAATTGAAAACACTGTAAGTCTCGGCAAAGAAAGAGCAGCCATAAAGAAGAACCAAATGGGAATTCTGGAATTGAAGAAAAAAAAATAAGCAAAATGTAGAATTTCATGAAGGGGTTCAACAACAGAATGGATTCCCACCTGGGTAAGTGTTGTAGGATGTGGAACGTGTCTGTCCCCTGAAAGCCCCACTCAATCATGATAGGTCCAAGCAAAAGGAGTTATCTCTGTGCTTCATCTGAGAACTTGCCGAGCCGGAAGCACTGAGAGATCCCCTCCCTGAAGAACCCCCAGGGTCTCCCCCCAGGAGAAGAGCTGAGCCCCAGAGGAAGCCTCTGGGGGACCCCCCAACAGTCCCTCTTGACACCATCTCACAGCTCTGGTAGAAGGGCTCAGTCTCTGTCACCCGCTGGGCTCCACCCCTCCCACAATCCCACTGTTTCCTGCAGGCTCGCTACAGCCACGGCATGTTCTCCGTGTACCCTGGGTTTGGCTCCATCTCTGCCGGAGGCGTACAGACCATCACCGTTGACTGCGTGGCTGACCCTGTGGGGAAGTGTGAGGAGTTTATGGCGATCGAGATCTCTGACCGAGACCCCAGAGACCACCCTGGTGGCATTCCTTACAGCCTGTTGGCGGAAGCCTGTCTACCAGGTACTGAGCTCTCGGATGGGACCGCATCCCTTACAAGACCTTCCTCTGTAACCGCCCCTCCCCCGTGCACATGTGGGGCAAACATGGCTGGGCGGCTACCTTTGGGGCCTTAGAACTTCCTCTAGTCACGTCTTCAGCCACATTTCTCCCTAAAGACCTACAAAGGCATGCACACCTACAAGGGGGTGTGCAGCTTTAAACTCCTAGTCTTCCTGAGTTTGGTCTGGGCTTCTCAGATGACCAAGGTTCTCTGGGAATCGCGGTTCGATGGGATCTGGCACAAGTCCCGTATCCAGCCTGTTCGTGGCCAGGTCACTCCCTGTGGGCAACACGCACACGGAGCACAGTGCCGGTGACTGACGGAGCATGCCGCAGCTTTAACCCAGCGGATCTCGGACGGAGCACGGGAAGAGCGTTTGCTTTGGCTAGAGGCGCCCTGCAGCCTCGCACCAAAGGGAGCCAACTGCCTCCTCCTTTCTTAAGCCCACCCCAGATCCTGATCTTGCCCCTCCTTGCCATTGGGAGGAACGGTGGTTGGGGTCTGGCGACCCACAAGATCCGTATGAAAGAAGTTAGACTATGTCCCATCACTCACACCCTATCTCTCTTCTATGCTTGTCCTTTGTCGGAATCCAAACCTCCAAGTGAGGAATTAGAGAAAGCAGGAACTGGGCTACCGGGCTGTGTCTAAGTCTTCCCTCCACCCCCCAGCCTTCGTGACGGACAACAACGCCTCCATATTTGAGGAGCACCAGATCTGCAACAGTACCAACCTGTACAGCATCCTGCAGACCACAGAGAGCAAGGGGCTGTTTGTGGAGGATGAGAACAAGTTCATGTTCAGCCATGTCATGGTGGGTCACCAGGCCAAGGCTCGGTTCAAGATGAGCAATGTGGGGAAGATCTCCTGCGATGTGACCATTGTGGTTAAGCCTGTCTCCAACAAGGTAAGCAGCCCCCCTTGGCCCCAGCCCACCGGTGTTGGCTGAAAGCCAGGGAGAGAACTCTTGGAAACCCCTGCTCTGGAGCCCGTCTACATCAGTGGGGATTATCTGACACTCAGGCCCTGCTGGAAGTTGTAGGAGGAAACTGGACAGACCACAGAGAGCAGGGGGCTGGGCTGTGAGGAATTTTCTATATATTCTTCACAGTGGAATAGAAAATTCAGGATGACAAGAGAGAGGGCTGAGTCCATAGGTTTCACTCACCCTTCACTTCCACGCAGAAGTGCTACAGATGCTATAGTCTTATCTCCGCTGCTCAGTTCTCTGCCCCAAAGTAGAATCTCGGCCCAGGTGTCCTTGTGCCCCAGAGCTGGCATTGTTCACATGGCTGGTGGGGGGGGGGGGGGAGACCACCCAGAGGGTTGGCCCAGCCTAGAGCCAGAATAGAGTATACATTCCCAGGAGGCTGGCACCCACCACAGAGGGACAGGGTTTGGGAGACTAATTCCTCTTATGACTTCCCTCACGCCCCAGTGACATCCAGTCATTATTCTCTGACTTTATTTGGGACACAAAGGAGCAGCTAGTTCTTCCTTATTTTGTGCTAAAAAAAAAAAAAAAAACCATAAAAAGGTGAGGACACCTGATGTCTAAACAAAGATAAGTTTCTAACGGTGGCGGGGGGGCGGGGTGTGCAGGCATGATATGTTCTCCCCATCCTAAAGTTCAGGCTGTCCATTGAAAAAAACAAAGGAAATGTGGTTATTGCTGGAAGATGGGTCCCAGAGTATCTAGGCTGTCCCTTTCAGGGGCACGGCTGTGCAGGCAATGGAACGTGTTTACCCCAGAGCTTCGAGGGGGGAGATTTCACAGCCGGGGCAACCGAGATAAGCAGCAAACCCTGTGTCAGTGCCACATAGCTAACACATGTGTGGGTTCCTGCCCCTCCCCCCTCACCAGGCCACTGCCCGCATCATTGACATCTTTGAAGTGGAACCCAACAAGATGTGTATTGCCAGTCGTTCACATGCCTTTGCCACGGTGACCTTCACCCCCCAGACCATGCAGTCGTACCAGTGTATCTTCGAGGCGACCTTGGATGGCGTGCCCAGGTACCGGCAGCCCAGCAACCCCTCCTGCAAGCAGGGCTGCAGGCCACGCCCCATGGGATGTCGTTCCTGCCATGCCGGGCTGACAGGCCTCCACCTCCCTGTTCCCCTGCAGCATCCAGACCAAGAACCGAAGCCTCACGTTTGATATCGTGGGAGAGGGGACCCTCCCTCGGGTGACCATCGTGCGGCCAATTCTCCACAACCAGTATGGAAACCTCTTGCTCCTCTTTAAGAGGCTTCTTCTTGGCCATTCAGAGAAACTCCCTCTCATCCTCAAGAACAATGGCAATATCCCTGCCGAGGTACTGCTGGGGGGTGAAGCGCGGGGTGGAAAGGGAGAAGAAGCCTTCAGATGTAAGACTTCTGATGTTGAGGTCCCTGCCATCCCTCTTGTAGGAGGGCTTCTTTGATGTTCCTCATCCATTAACCTGTGTTAATGCAGAGGGAAATCTGACATGGTCTCTGCCCTCAAGGAGTGTCAGAGAGCAGATGACATAGTCCACTAACAATCACCGTGTGAGGCCGTGTACAAGGACATGCACCAAGCTTAGTGGGTGGGATTATGGGTATGCTTAGTGTCGTCTTTGTTTTTTCTGTAACGAACATTGCATTTATAATAAAGGAAAACAAAAGAAACCTCATTGGGGGGTGAGAGATGTAGCATCTGTAGGGACTTCTGGTTCAGCCATTATATTTTGTAAAATTTTATTTTACAAAAAAAGTGCTAAATTGTGTAAGGGTTACGCAAAAGACTGGAGGACTTTTGAAAATGACCTTGATCCCATCTTAGGGGATCAAGGAAAATTTCACTCTAAAATGACATCTGAGTGGCACTGAAGGTAACTGGGTTTTTGTTGGTGGGCATGGCAGTGAGTGAGTGCGTCCAGGTAGCAAAAGAAAATGGCAAAGACAGAGTCACACAAGCAAAAAAGCAGAAGATACAAACAGGAGCTAGTAAACACCAGCTTCATGAGAGCATAGTGTACAGATAGGAGAGCAGTGGGAGATAAATACAGAAGGCAGAGTAAGGGGACAGCTTGTCGAGGGCTTCGGATTCTGTATATATTGTAAACTCTACAAGACATTATTACTATTATTGTTATTGTTGTTTATACAGTTAAGACTCTTTTAGGTCTACCCACATGATGATGATTATTATTTATTTATTTATTTATTTATTGCTTGTCATTCCTGCATCTCCACCTTTACATCTGAAATCCTTTTCCTACTGACCAAAGAATACTTTTTACTATTTCCTTAATGCATGCGTGCTGGTAATGAATTCTCTATTTTTATTTTAAAATCTTCATTTCTTCTTAATTTTTTTAAATATATTTTTATTGATTTTTTACAGAGAGGAAGGGTGAGAGAGAGTTAGAAATATCGATGAGAGAGAAACATCGATCAGCTGCCTCCTGCACATCTCCCACTGGGGATGTGCCCGCAACCCAGGCACATGCCCTTGACTGGAACCGAACCTGGGACCCTTCAGTCCGCAGGCCGACGCTCTATCCACTGAGCCAAACCGGTTTCGGCATTTCTTCTTCATTTTTAATGTAACTTTTACTGGCTATAGAAGACTCTGTGCTAGCAGTTGTTTTCTTTCAGCAAATGGGAGATACCATTCCAGTGTATCCTGGTTTCCATTGTGACTGCTGAGATGCCAGCTGTCAGTCTAAAATGTTCTTTTAAGGCAATCTTTTCCCTCTGACTGTGTTTTACATTGTCACTCTGTATCTGCTTCCTGCTATTTCACTATTATGTGTCTATGTATGGATTTCTTGTTATTTATCCTTCTTGAAAATCACTGGGCTTCTCGATTCTGCAACTTTTGGAAAATTCCTAGATGTGTGTTCAAATGTTGCTTTTCTTCTATTCTGTCCCATCTCTCCTTCTGGGAAGCCAATTAAATACTAGTATATCCTCTGTGTCTCATAGTCTCACTGTATTGTCCATCCATTTTTCTCTGAGCTTCATTGTGCATAATTTCTTTTGACCTGTCTTCAGTTTATTAACTCTGCCTTTAGTTATAACTAATCTGCTATTAAACCTCCAAATAAATTCTTAACATTTTTTTAACTCTAGAATTTCTATTAGATTATTTTTAAAATCAACATAATCAGGTTTTTTTATATGTTTTTTATTGACTTCAGAGAGGCAAGGAGAGAGGGAGAGAGACATAGAAACATCAATGATGAGAGAGAATCATTGATCAGCTGCTTCCTGCATGCCCCCAGCTGGGGATTGAGTCCACAACCTGGGCATGTGCCCTGACCAGGAATCAAACCGTGACCTCCTGGTTCGTAGGTTGACACTCAACCACTGAGCTATGCCGGCCAGGCTGATTTTATTTTTTAAATCAGTGGGCTGGAAAACATCATTTTTCTCCAATTAATTTTGGAGAAAATGCCCACCTTGGTTTTCCTCTCATCTTGGTAGGATCTCAACATGACACTATCAAACAACTCAGGCACTGGTACCTAGGAGACACTGGTTTTTAGAAACTCATAGGCATGCAATCCCTCATGGAATGACAAATATCCATTTTCATTTATTAGTCTAGAGCAGCAGTTCTCAACCTGTGGGTCACGACCCCTTTGGCGGTCAAACGACCCTTTCACAGGGGTCGCCTAAGACCATCCTGCCTATCAGATGTTTACATGACGATTCATAACAGTAGCAACATTACAGTAATGAAGTAGCAACGAAAATAATTTTATGGTTGGGTCACAACATGAGGACTGTATTTAAAGGGCCGGAAGGTTGAGAACCACTGGTCTAGAGTATATTTTACAACCACCTCTGTCAAAAGCAGAGGCCGTGGCAAACCCACGTTGTCACTACTGAGCTGGCTGATCTGGGAAGGTGCCTGTGCTCTCTGGGCCTCCAGTTCCTCACCTGGATAACAAGAGCTGAACTAAATGTTCTTTTTTCCTCTCCAGGTCTAATATTTATGATCTCTCCCTCTTCATAAGAAACAAAAAATCAGGCACTAGGCACAATGGCTTTCGGGGGGATACTTCCCAAACAGCACGGGGTCTCACCATAGCCTCAACATCCATGAGCAGCCTGTAAGTGTCACACTCACTCCTGCTTTCCTTCTCCAGCTGCATGTTGACCTGCAGGACCAACTAGAAGTCTTCTCCCTGAAAGGGAGGCCCACGACCTCCTACATCTACATCATAGAGGAAAACAAAGCCCATGCGAAAGGTAAGTTGAGGAAGAGTAGCTTCTAGAGAGCAATGGAGCCCAGTCCCCGTTTCATTGGGGGACCAGTCAGGACCCAGAGAGAGCAGGATGTCTTGTCACCAATGGCCACGCTCAGCAGTGCTCATTCCCACCCTTGCCCTTGAGTCGGGGTCTTTATGGATGCATCTTCCTTTAAGCTGACCCTACAGCATTCTTCTCTCTTCTCTTTGCAGCGAAGAAAGCTCACACGGCCTCCCTGGTGGTTCTTCCCGGAGAGACAGCCGAATTTGATGTGGTTTTCCAAGCCCGAAATGTCGGGAGAATGACAGGCACCATCCACTTGTCAGTGCGCAACAATCAGTACGAGGACACGATCATCCGCCTGGTGGGGGAAGGCTACGAGGATGACATCACTTTGGACAACGTCCACGGGCTGGTGGCTCCCACCAGCGGGGAGGCCTTCGACGTGTCCGAGGTCACCGAGGACGTACCTATGGAAAACTTGGTGGCAGGTGGGAGAAGCCACAGTGAGGTGTTGACAACTGTTGGCTCTTGGGTCATTTTAAACGAGAGTGAAATTTAAAAAGCAGATCAACTAGCTTCCTGGGAATTTAGGACCGACGCCCTTTCGTGCCTGGCTCCGCCACTGCTAGCACTCATGTGTACCCTCGAGGGACATTCATGGAGCATCCCTGTGCATGTGCCAGGCACTGTGCTGAGCCCTGGAGTTCTGATGAGTAGCCAGAGTCTCTGCCCTTCTGGGGCTTATAGTTTGAATTCCAATTCCAATTTAGCTACTAACCAAAATTCAAACTCCAGATTAGCGAAGAACGGAATACACATCTCTCTGCAGTTTCCTACGTTTATATCTATTAACTGGCTCACGTTGACATTGTCTGTTTCACCTGCACCACGTGTCCTGGACATTCTAAGAGAGATGGTGGGCTTGTTTAACAGGTGTAGGCTTGTGCCTCCTCTAGAGCATCATTCTCTGTCGTCTGAGAACCTACAGCATCAGCATTACCTGAGAGTTTCTTAGACATGAGAATTCCAGGCCCTACCCCAGCACTCACATGCTGAATCAGAACCTGCATTTTAGCAGGGCCTCTAGGTGATGTGTGAGTATACGAAAGCTTAAGACATTCTGCTCTGCAGTCTGTCAAGTGCTGCAGCTTCATCTGGTTAGCTGCACTCTTTGGGGTAGGAGAAAATTCACTTCCTAGTTACCCTTAGAAAGCATTTGTTAAGCACCCTAACTGTGTGCCTAATTGCTATGAAGTGAATTATACCAACACTGTCCCATAGCTTTTCTAGGAGCTTCATTATAGTCCTGGAATAGAGCATTGCGCAGTCTATATGACATGGGTAAAAATCAGCACTCCTCGCCCCTGTTGGTGGCTACAGGGCGGCTTCTCTCCTCTCAGAAGTCAAGCAGGAGCCAGCAGTGAGCCCTAGTTCAGAAATCAAATTTTATACTTCTGAGAGGCTTGCCAGATTTAGAAAATCAGGCTATAGAAGTCCCCATTAAATGTGAACTTCAGGCCTGGCCGGAGTGGCTCAGTGGTTGAGCGTCAACCTATGAACCAGGAGGTCACAGTTTGGGGGGCGTGTAGGAGACAGCCAATCAATGATTCTCTCATCATTGATGTTTCTGTCTCTCCCTCTCCCTCTCCTTTTTTCTCTGAAGTCAATACAAATACATTTTTCTAAAAAATGTGATTTTGAGATAAATTATGAATTAATTTTTGGTTTAAGTATATCCCAAAATATTGCACCGGGCATGTTTATACTAAAAATTATTCATAGTCTATCTGTAATTCAAATGTAATGGGACTCCTGTATTTTATCTGGCAACCCTAACCCTTAGTAGTAATGTTTCAGCAAATAAATGGAGTTGGGGACTGTGTTTTCTCTTGGAGGTAAGGGCCAAGGTGGGTGGATGGAAAGATGGATGGATGAATGGATGGATGGATGGATGGATGGATGGATAAGTATATTCCCCAAGGAAGGAAAGCTTACTGCTCAGGACTCCAGTTTTTCCAATAGAACAATCCAAGGAGGGAGGGGTTACACGAGGAGGAGACACATTGTCTTTCTGGTGCTGCCTCGGCTGGGTCGGAGCCCTGGGAGGAGGCCTGGGGACCCACGTGCCTCTGCTCTGTTCCCTAGCTGCTCTGGTGGACCACATTCAGTTTGGGGACTGCCACCTTGGAAGCAGCTATAGCGTGAGCTTCACAGTCACTAACCACAGCCAAGTGAATGTGATTCGGTTTGAATGGCCCTCGTTAGCTACAATTACCTTTGCCCCACAGGTAAGTGAAAGCTACTTACTGTTTCTGGACTCCTTTAGGCCTAAGCCAAACCTATTTGATTGTTAGTCCATTCCTGTGGATACAAGGGATGGGACGGACCTCATTCAGTCCTAGTATTGAAGGACACACTGTTCACGCGCGCGCGCGCGCGCGCACACACTCACACACACACACACACACCCTCTGATCTAAGAGCAGAGAATGAGGTCTGCCAAGACTGTTGCTAGGCTGATGTTGAGAAATTCCATGGAAGCCTGTGTGGATGGAAAAGGTCCCAGTCTTCCTATCCCAGAGTATACACCTGTGTCCCCCTAGGTGTGTGTTCTTTAAGCACTAGTGGTTCGCTAAAAGATAAAATGGGGGTGATGGTTTCTGTGGACAACTGAGATTTAGAAAATGTTTCAAGTTACATCTTTCTCTTAAAGACCCCCAGTGCCCTTCAGCATTCTAACACCTAGCTAAGTGTGTCTTACCTGCAATTTTCTAACCCCTCCTTTTAGCATCTCACAGCGCACATTTTGTGAATTGCTGACCAAATCTCACCATTAGCAGATCCTAGCCTCTGGCCTGCAGGCGCTTTTCATTGATAATTGACTTCTGAGGAACAGCGCAGGAGGCAGTGGGTATGTCTGTGTGTACCAGGACACTGATACACGCAGACATACCCACTGCCTCCTGCTCTGTTCCAGCCACCAAGTCTTCAAACACAGAATTCTCAGGGCATAGAGCAAGGGGGTTGGGGCCCCCCCTTTAAAGCTTGGACTGCTAGCAGGGGGAAGGTTTGCTTCCTGGAGAGATGTGAATCATTAGTGAAAGTAGACAGGGATAAGCTTCTTATAGTCCACACACACACTCACCCCTCCACACCCTTCCACACACACACTCACACTCACGCTCCTGTGTATGCACACGCATATTTGTGGCCCTGGGAAGTATGGTAAGTACAAAGCTTCCTTCTCCTTTCATTTTCCAGAAGAGGCAATTTCAGAAACATGAAAGGACTAGCATACATATATATATATGCATATATATAGATAGATAGATAGATTTCATATATATGTTGTTTTATATATGTGAATTTTGTTTATATATGAGCTTTGGTATATATGTGAGTTTTGTATGTGCGTGTTTATGTATGTGAAATCATAAATGATTTTTTCTACAGTCCAAATTGGATTTCTCATGTATTTGCTATATACTTCAGCAAATCTAAGCCTTTTTGGTCTCAGGATTCCTTTACACTCCTAAACATTATTGAGGATACCCCCCAAAGAGCTTTTGTTTATGTAGGTTATATCTATCAATATTTACCATATTAGAAATTAAAACTGAGAGTGTTTTTAAAAACTGCATTCATTTATTAATTTTAAAATATAATAATAAACCCATTGCATGGTCATATAAATATATTTTTATAAAAACAGCTATATCTTTCAAAATAAAAAAAATTGAAATTGTGTGAGAATAGAGGCATTATTTTGCATTTTTATAAATCTCTTTAATATCTGACCTGATAGAAGACAGCTAATTCTCATATTTGCTTCTGCATTCAGCCTAATGCTATATCATATGTCACATAACTGCTGGAAAACTCCATTGTATAGTCATGAGAAAATGACTATACAAGATTGAATTCCCAAGTGACTAACACCAGGCTCTTTCCCAGACTGGCCACCTCCACCCTGGGTGTGCCAAGGACATCGTGATGACCCTGAAGTCAGACATCCCCATCAACATGAAGAATATGGACATCAAGTGCAAGGTCTCCAAGATCATGTTTCAGCAACCTGCAGACCAGGTCCCCGACTGGGACGACCGCATGCGCACAGTCAAATGGGTGGACATGCCCAGAAACATGCCCGGGACTTTCACTACAAAACGAAAAGTGAGTAGAGACTTTAATCCCAAATCTGGCCAGGCCTACCAGGCCTGGATGCCTACTGCCCTCAGCATTGCCATGTCTCACCATTTCCTTCTCTCATGGAAAAAGAAATTGTTCCCATTCAACTTGACTTTTTTTAACATATATATTTTTATTGTGAACAGTATTACAGATGTCCCCATTTCCTCCTCCCCTTGCCCCCTTCGTAATTAAGAAAGACCCTGCCACCCCCCCCCCCTCACCGCACTATTGTCTGTGTCCATGGGCTATGCATATAAGTACATAATTTCTTTGGTTTATCCTTTCTCATCCCCTCCCCCTCTGAGATATGTCTGTCTGTCCCAGGCCTCCATGCCTTGGGACTTATTTTGTTGGTCAATTTATTTTGTTCATTAGATTCCACAGATAAGTGAGATCATGTGATATTTGTCTTTCTCTGACTGGCTTATTTCACTTAGCATAATAATCTCCAGGTCCATCCATGCTGTCCCAAAGAATGAAAGATCCTTCTTTTTTAATAGCCACAGGGTATTCCATTGCCATTCCACTTGACTTTGATCTCAAAAGTGACAAACTGAACTTCCAAGCATGCCACCTGCCATCCATACTACACATATCACATGAACCACACATCTGAATTGGTAGAGCTTTAGATTAAGCTTTGATATCTCACTGAGCAAGTCCTCTCACCTTTTTCTTCTTCAAAAATGCCATGGCTGGTCTTTTAATTGTTTCTTTTTTCCCTCAGGTGTCCAGAATTAGATTAATGGTAGACAGAATCTCATCTTTGGTCCATGCATGTCCCTCTTTTAATTATTCCTTGGTTGGTTCCCTTGTAATAATGTAAACAAAGATGAACCCTCACACAGCACAGGAAGCAGAACGTGGATTACCTGTGTGGTTCTCAGCCATGCCATCCCTCGGCCTCCTTCCTGGAGGAGATCATCTCCTGAATCTTTTTTGCTCAATCTCTTGATTTTTGTCTTTTGTTTCTTTTTTAATCTATGCAACTAAACATTTCATTGTAGTTTTTTACTTTATTTGTTTAAAGGTTGTTGCATGTGCTTATCCATATTGTGGCATGTGGCTACAGTACACCCATTTCACTGCTATATAAAATTCCATTATTATTTACCATCCATTCTTTTTTTGAAAGCTATTTGGGGCTTCTCTAGAATGGACTGTGTTTCTATGAGCATTATTATTCATGTCACATTGTATTCATTCGAAAGAGTTTTTATTTCCAAAAGTGGAATTGCTGAACCATAGGATATAGGAATGTTCAACTTTCCAGGGTAACTCCCAAATGTTTTTCCAAAGTGCTGTACCAACTTATACTTCTACTAGCAAAGAGATCCCGTTGATCTACGATCTCTCCAACATTTGGCATTGTCGGATGTTTTTATTTTTATCTTTGAAATGAATAGGAAATAGCCCTGGCCAGGTGGCTGGGATGGTTGGAGCATCATCCCATACACTAAAAAGGTTGCGGGTTCGTTCCCCGATTGGGGCATGTTCAGGAGGCAACTGATCAATGTTTCTCTCTCTTTCTCTCCTTCTTTCTCTTTGAAAATTCAGTAGAACATATCCTCAGGTGAGGATTGAAAAAAAAAGAAACAAATAGGAAATAGATTCATTTTGGGCCTTTGCATTTCCCCAGTCACTAAAGTTGAATACTTCTTCATGTGATTATTGGCCATAGAAGTTATCTCTTAATGTAGATGCATTTTGCCCATTTTTCACCTAGGATGCTTGTCCTTTGTATGTGTCATTTTATTTTTTATAAACTCTACTTTATATATTTTTGTCTGCAAACATCTTCACCACATTTTAGCTCATCTTTTCACTTTCTTTGATTTATCTTTTTGTGAATAAAAATGTTCATCTCTCCCTTTATTATTATTTATTTTTGTGTCTTGTTTTTAAAACCTTTCTGTAACAGTGAAGAAAATAATCACTGTGTGTGTGTGTGTGTGTGTGTGTGTGTGTGTGTGTGTGTGTGTGTGTATGGCCCACCTGGATATTATGGTATGAGGCAAGGGTCCAATTTTATATTTTTCCATCTAGGTAACTAATCTCGCCAAATCCCTTTTGGGCCCAGCACTTCTTTTGTGATCTGCCGTGACGCCCTTGTCATCTAAATCTCATATGTGCCTACATGTTTCTTGTCTCTATAGTCTATTGCCAATTTTTCTACCCCTGTGCCAGTTTTACGCTTCTTTAATTCCTGTAGCTTCATAATCAGCCTTGATATCTGGGAGGGAAGTCCCTCCTCCATACTGTTTTGTTCTGTTTAGTTATTCTTGGCCCTTTATTTTTCAAAATAATTTTGCAATCCATTTACCAAGTACGATTGACCTTTCAACAACATGGATTTGAATTGTATGGGTCCACTTACAGCAATATATATAACAGACTTTTTTCAATAAATACTGTCAATCTATTTTCTCTTCCTTGTGACTTTCTTAATAACATTTTCTTTTCACTCTCTTGCTTTATTGTAAGAATACAGTATGTAATAGATATAGCAGACAAAATATTCTTAATTGACTATTAATGTTACTAGTAAAGTCAACAGTAGGCCATTCATAGTTAAGTTTGGGGGGAGTCAAAGTTATACACAGAGTTCGGTGCCCCTCACCCCCATATTGTTCAAGGGTCAACTATACTATAAAATGGAAAATTCATTGGAATTGGATTGCACCTACAAGTCAGGTTAGGAAGAATTGATAATTTAATAATATTATTCCATCCTTTCCATTAACAAGGTACGTCGCTCTATTTACTTAGGTCTTTAAGATTTTTTTACTACCATTTGGTGTCTTTAATAGTATTAGGACTCTTTAGATTTTTTTTATTTGTCCTTGGGTCTATTTTAATTAAATTATTTTTTAGGAATTTGCCCTTCAACTAAGTTTTCATATATATTTCCATAAAATTATTCATAACATTTTTACCATATGTTTAAATATGTAGGATCAATAATAATGTCCCTTCTTCATTTCAGATGTTAGTTATTTGTATTTTTCCTGATCAATCTCACCAAAAGTCTTTCAAATCTTTTCAAATAACTTTTGGCTTTGTTGGGCCTTTCTGTGTTAGACTTATTTTCTATTTTATTAATATCTGTTCCTATCTTTATAATTTTCTTCCTTCTACCTTCTTTGGAGTCTGTCTGACCCCAAACTCATGTCTGTGCATCTCTGATGCCCTCAGTCATTTCTCACTTCCTTCCCATTAATGAGTCATTTTGGGTTTGCCTTCATCTTTAATTCTGGAATGTGACTTAGGGATTGGTGTTAATTTGCAGTGTAGAGTAGTGTGCTGTTATTCCCCACGGTGTCCCTGTGACAGCTGGCTGTGCATCACTGAGGACGCGGCTGCCTTTGTTACAGGTGATAGAGACGGACCCTGAGCCTGCGCACTCAGTGCTGGAAGAGCACTACCGAGAGCTGATGCTGCAGATCAGCGCCAACGTGAACTTCGCGTCCTACCAGTGCCAGACGAGCGACGTGCACTTTAAGGACACGCTGGTTTACCAGACCCGAGTGTTTCAGTGAGTCCTCAAAAGCCTCCCAGCGCTCAACGTTCTTCCATCTCGTCATCCACTCAGTCTTTACTCAAACACGCATTCAGTGTCTACGACAGCACATACCAGGCCTCACCTGTCGCATGCACCGGAGTGTCTTTGTGGCGCCAATGAAACACTCAGACCCACAAAGCAATTGAAGTTTACACTTGAAATCAAGATAGGCAGGAAACTGGCATCAGCTGCCCAGCTTCAGTGGGGAGAGTCCTTGCAGCAATCCGTACCACGACCCAGGAACTGTGTGGGGCCCCGGGTGACAGCTCAGACATTATCCACACTAGTGGGGATAGGGCCCATCCTCAGCTAAGAAGCCCCATGACCAACAGAAGCAGCATTTCTCATGACCACTCCATAGGTGTCGCTTCCAGGATCCCTGCAGGGGACATGCCCAGTTACAAGAGTCACTGTCCTCAGAGAACCTCACAGCTATAGCTTCCCTCCAGATAATCATCATTCCTCCAGACCAGTTGCAATTGGCCAAGCGGGAGTCATTTCTACCATAAACAACGTTGCCTAATAACACCGCTGGCATTTCTCCTTTATTTTCCAGGGAAACTGAGCTAGAAAGTTAGTTCAAAGTCAGAATTGTCCTTAGAAGGAGAAAGGGTTATAGTAACCCTTCACCCACACTCAGACGCAGGGATACAAGGATGCCATGGGTTCTGCTCTCAGAGTTCATGGTCACGGGTGGGGAGTAGGGGAATAGGTGACAATAGGGGTCATGCAGCAGCAGCACCGTGTCCTGTGTAGGCAGTAAGAGTGCCTAAGGCAGTCCTAACCGGTTTGGCTCAGTGGATAGAGCGTTGGCCTGTGGCCTGAAGGGTCCCGGGTTCGATTCTGGTCAAGGGCATGTACCTTGATTGTGGGCACATCCCCAGTGGGGGGTGTGCAGGAGGCAGCTGATCAATGTTTCTAACTCTCTAACCCTCTCCCTTTCTCTCTGTAAAAAAATCGATAAAATATATATTTTTTTAAAAAAAGAGTGCCTAAAGCAGACCAACATGGGAGAGACAGTATCAGGGAAGGCTCCCCAGACAAAGTGGTGCCCCAGCTGAATTTTGGAGACCAGATAGGAGGTAGCCCAGGGAAGAAGTGAGAAAAAAGGACCTTCTAAGCAGAGAGAGCAACACAGACAAAAAGAAAAGGGCTGTGACTAATCTTTGAGAATTACAAAAGCAAAAATGGAAACCGCTGACATTTCTACTTTGTAAACATTAGTAATTGACTTGGTCACCTCATTTTGCATTTGGTGCCCTTGAAGTGTCCTCTCAAGTTATCGTAGCAGCAAACGGCACAAGGAAAGGCGTGGGATCTTCTGCTGATGCCCATTGCACCTGAAGCACGGATCAGCAAGCTGTGCCCGTGGGCCCAAGCCAGCCAGCCACTGGGTAATTGGGTTTATTGGCACAAGGCCATGCCCATTCGTTTCTGCATCGTTCGTACCTGTGTTTGCACAATAGCTGAGTGAGTGATGGCTGCAGAGACCTACTGCATGCAAAGGCCAAAAAATCTTACTCTCTAGCCCTTTACCTAAACCCAGAATTCTTTTTGTGAAGACTACTCTGTGCCACTAAGATTCCTCAACTTTATAAAAATTTCCTTTAGGCTGAAGGCCACTACTCAGGCATTCACACCATGAACATAAGCCCCTGAAGTCAACACACTTGACTTCAGACATACCTGCTGGACTACCTGGATGGGATAATGGAGGTCTAATCCCTAAACCCATCCTAGACCTCCTCCCCCAAAACCAGGAGAGCACTGTGTTTCTTTCTCTTACACAATCATTTTCTTTCTTTCTTTTTTCTAAATCCTCACTCAAGGATATTTTTTCCATTGATTTTTAGAAAGAGGGGAGGGAAGGGGAGAGAGAGAGAGAGAGAGAGAGAGAGAGAGAGAGAGAGAGAGAGAAACATTGATGTGAGAGAGATACATCAATTGGTTGCCTCCCGCATGCACCTAGGGGCTGGGGCGGGGGGGGGGGGGGGGGGGATTGAGCCTACAACTGAGATACATGCCCTTGACCCAGAATCAAACCTGAGACCCTTCAGTCCGTGGGCTGATGCTCTAACCATTGAGCAAAAGCAGCCAGGGCCACAATCATGTTCTTGTATCAAGACCTCATCCTCCTGCTGTCACTGTCTATGATCAAGTTTAATAGTGATTCCAGAAAAAGCTTCTCTCTCCCACTTCTTGTCTTGGAGCAGGGAAACTTGAGGCAAGAAGAATTTGAGACAAATATCTCAGCCAGTGAAAGCATCTCAGGAAGAGGTCAGGTGGCTTCTGAGGACAGGGACATTGTTTCTGGCGGGAAGTGAAGGGGCTATGGAATTTGCACCCCAAGAAGGTACTCTCAGGTGAAAGGTTTTTGTTTCCTCTCTCCTGGGAATTTTCAGGATTACCATGGCACAGGCTGAGAGTTCATCGCATAAGGTGCCAGTGGATGACTTTAAGGGCTAAACCTGGACATTTTCACTTTCAATGGCTATGCATATATTTTGTGTTTTGGAAGGAAATGTAATTGGTACATCAAATGCATGATTTCAGATAACATTGCTTAAAACTTGCCTTTTGAAGAAATATTTTTTATATATTTTATTGATTTTTTATAGAGAGGAAGGGAGAGGGTTAGAGAGCTAGAAACATCGATGAGAGAGAAACATCGATCAGCTGCCTCCTGCACACTCCCCACTGGGGATGTGCCCGCAACCAAGGTACATGGCCTTGACCGGAATCGAACTTGGGACCCTTCAGTCCACAGGCCGACACTCTATCCGCTGAGCCAAACCGGTTAGGGCTTGAAGAAATATTTTAAAAACAAAATGACTTCACCCAAAGGAAAAAGTCACAGTTTTAGATGACGGATGTGCCGACAAGACACAAATCATTTGCAGCACGTTTCTCAAACGCGTTCCCCCGTCTGTGTGCAGGTTGGAGCTGGTTAACACAGGAAGTGTGCAGCTGGAATTCAGCTGGATCTTGGAAGAGACAGCGAAGACTGTCAGCTTTGCAATGCCAGAAAACCAAGGTACATGCGATGGCAGGTAAAACCTGGGGTGTGAACGGAGTGCCCGGTTAGTGGAAGAGCCTTGCTCCCTCGGCTCCCTCCCAAGGAGCTATGGAGAAGCAGCGCCGAGGCCTCCTGGTGTCTGTAGAGACCATTGGGCCTGAGACACTCAAGAGCTGACCTCTGCCCTCCTGGGGCCTGGACCCTGCCCCCTCCCCACCTCTCACAAGGCCAGCATCCCAGCTCAGGTCCCCAGGAATCTTTTTGATCTTAACCTTTTAGGAGATTACAGCCCCTTGGAGACAATGGTGAAAGCTATGAACTGTCTCCCCAGGAAATCACATACCTTGCCCAACTTGCAGCTGATGCACGTGCAGCACTTTAAGGACCCAGCACTTGGCAGGAAAATATCCATTATTCCTGCTTCAATATGGCAGATTCCCGGACCTTCCAAACGGCCCTTTTCCGTGGGCCCCGGATTGTGAACTCCTACTTTAAAACAGTGATTCTCCAAAAACTATGTTCACTACCCATTTTTTTTGAGGCACAAGACCCACAGGTATCTACTTGGCCCACTCCCTTGGACCAAAGGGAAACAAATTTGAAAGCTTGATGGAATTAATGGCAATATTTTTTTTCACGAGTCACCTGTGAGAGCTAGGAGTCAATTCCTTACCCCTAGAGCCTAAAGTTGACTATATCTGCTAGAAGAGGTGAGCTCCCAGACCCCACAGAGGGTCCCTAAGGACCTGCGAGTGGGATGCCTTCTCCTTGTCCTCCCACTGCAAATGCAGAATGTCACTGGCTCTCTGTCTGCCCCCAGGTTCTCAAAAAGATCAGCTGAGCCAGGGCAGCACCGCGGACAGCGCCGTGGACCACTGGACTGAACCTTCCCCACCGTCCTTCTCTGTGGATCCCGTCTCCGGCGTTGTGCCCGTGGGGAAGGCTGAGAAGATCCAAGTGAAATTCTCCCCACTGGAGGTTGGAGACTTCGAGAGCACTATTACCTGCCAGTAAGGAGATGTGCTCCCCAGACAAAGCTCTGCCCCTCCGGTCCCTCTTCTCTGCCACCACGACTACCATTCTTCCCAACCCAGGGCCCTCCACAGCCCCAACTTGCCACGTTTTGCTCTGGAAAGATTCAAAGGCGCTAGCTTTTGGAGAACAAGGAGAATGGAGTCTTTTGTGTTGCTCAGCAACCCTCTCTAGACCCTCCCTCTGCCCCACCTCTCTCTTCCTGGCCCCAGACAGAAGTCCACTGGGCAACAAAACAGTTGGCAGCCAGATGGGTTCCAGTCCTGGGACAAGCATGAACCTAGGAAGGCTTTCTCGTACCTTTACTGATACCAGGTTTCCTTGACTATAAGATGCAAATAACAATAACACCTTGCAGAGTTCGAGTGAAGACTGAATGAGGTTAACTCCCTGAAGCTTAGAACAGTGCCTGGCACACAATAAGCACAACAAGCATTAGGTGGTGGGGACGGTGGAGGTTGTAGACCTGGTGCATGGTAAGCAAGGAAGAGACGGGGTCCAGACCCAGTTAGAGAAAACCAATCCAATAGCTCCTGGCCGTGAGAGTCCCTGATGTGGTACCCACTCCCAGGGCAGCTCCATGGAGAACTACTGCAGAAGGATCCCATGAACCGTGGCTGAGTGTGGCGGGGACCTATGTGAGCCATAAGAGCCTCCTGCAGTCACACTGCAGGGACCCTCCTGCACCTGGGCCACCTCAACTTGGATCTGGGGCTGAAAGTCTGCTCACATCCAAGGGATGTGAGGAGCTCAGGATACGTTTTTAGGATCTCAGCATCACTTTCCATATCCCACAAATGCCTCTGGGAGGGCCAGAGGGTACGCCTCTGTGTTCATTTTACAGCAGGGAGATGTTCTCAACCCTGGTGTGGGAAATACCTCAGTAACACACTTAGGGACACAGAGGAGACCAGAATTCAGGCTCCTCATACTCAGCCTATTCATGCATTCATCCACTCAACCACTAATTAATGAATACCTACTATGTACTGGTCAAGACACTGAGGTTCTGTTGTTGACCAAGATAGAACCAGCCTCTATGCTCATGGAGCTCATATTTTAGTAGATGTAATATTCGTTTCCAACCAACTAAGAAAGCAACAATTGGCTAAAACTAAAAAATAAATAAAAATAACCATATCCTCTCAGGATTCCCAACCTACTACCTGGAGAGCAAGGCCCAGTCATATCAGCAAAAGGACGGAGCTTCTTGCCCATCTGCCACTTTGAACTGAAAGAGTCGGACTACATCACTGCTCATCGGCACAACCCGGATCTCCGAGGGCCTGGTGGTGGGCCTCTGGACCCAAACACCCGGGTGATCGAGTTCACCAGTGTGGGCATAGGAGGGAAGAATCTCCGGTGAGTTGCCTCGGTTTGCATCAGTTGAGTTCATATCAGCCAATCCTTCTAAAGAACTCAGAGGAAGAATTCAGAGACTTGAGCTGGATGGGTTCCTAGAAGCAGTTTGATATGCTGGGGTTTGACTTGAGAGAGCTGCTACCGTAAGGAAGCTGAATTCAGTCTCCTTAGTTTTGACACCGGGGTTTGGGGGACAGGGAGGCATTTAGAAGGCATAGAATCCCTAACCACCACCTTGAACACAGAGGATCACTGGGACAGAAGGGCCCTCAGCACCATTATTACTCCAAAGTCCGGAGCTCCAGCCATACGTTGGACCCCCACATGAGGTGTGGTTTTTATTTCTACAGTAAAAAAGTATCTGCAACAGTTCTGGTTCCCATGTAGGGGGACCGAGCCAGGGCAGTTAGGTCCTGAGAAAGTGTCTCTTAATCCTCAACCCTCCCTCTCACTCTCTGCTGTCAATTCTTCCCCCTCGGCCAGGACGTTTACAATCCTGAACCCGACCGCTAGCATCTACTGCTTCCGCTGGGTCTCTGAAGAAATGGAAAGTCTCCAGAACCCTTCAGCCTTCACCTGCCTCACAGAGAAGGGCTGCATCCACCCTGAAAAGAAAGCCGAGGTGTGTGTGTGTGTGTGTGTGTGTGTGTGTGTGTGTGTGTGTGGACCACTCGACCCAGGGCTTCAATCATTCTATCTATCTCTGCACAGCAAGCATCCCATAGACCAGAGATAGAGTTAGGGAGGACAGCCTAAGGGTACGTCCATCCACAAGTGTTTTTTGAGTGGCTACCATATAGGTTAGGCCAGTGGTCGGCAAACTCATTAGTCAACAGAGCCAAATATCAACAGTACAATGATTGAAATTTCTTTTGAGAGCCAAATTTTTTAAACTTAAACTATATAGGTAGGTACATTGTTATTAACTTAATGAGGGTACGCCTAAGGCTTAGGAAGAGCCACACTCAAGGGGCCAAAGAGCCGCATGTGGCTCACGAGCCACAGTTTGCCGACCACGGGGTTAGGCAGTCCTCGTGGACAAGACAGACCTGAGCTCACTTGGTTGGCCATGGAGAAGCACATCTCTAGTATTTGGAGTTTTAAAAAATTGAGATTATTAAAGCAGAACAGGGAAGCTGGACACCCACCAAAGCCTGGACACTATGGGACAATGTTATTTTTGTCCAAGGGACTGACAGCTGTGAAAGGACACAGATGTGTTTTCACTTGGTCAGGACGAAAGTCAAAACAGAACACTGGCGTCATGCCCCAGGTCTCAGTCCTGCTGTTTCCACAGTGACACAGGGGAGGGGGTCCAGCTTAAAGAAACATGAGCTCGCTGGTCAAAACAGACCTGCGGGTCCCCTGTCCTGTAAGTCCTGCAGGGAATCTTGGAGGCAGAAACAAATACGGAAACAGAAATTATGCATTCGGCTGCCTCCAGGAAGGTCATCCAAACGAATGATGCAGGCCAAGGGGACCCTGACAGGGAGTGCCGGGCAGAGATGGCTGGCCACAGTGCTTCCCCGGCAGATCACCAGCACACAGACAGTGGGCCAGGGTTGCCAACTCTCCCAAACTTCTCGGGAAAAGTCAAAATTCCAAATTCCTATCTGAATCTCTCCATTTGTACATGTCATCCAAAGACCTGGTGTGAATACGGCAGCCTAGCCAACAGAAGCTGCGGATGGTGTAGACCCGCTTAGAAAGACCTGTGGGCAAGCAGGGCAATCAGACAGAACAGCCAGACTTACATGCCCTTCAGAGAGGGTAGAAAGGCAGTGGTGACCTGGTAACATCAGCCATCAGAACCCCAGTGCCGACAAGCCTCTAAGGCAGTGGTTCTCAACCTTCTGGCCCTTTAAATACAGTTCCTCATGTTGTGACCCAACCATAAAATTATTTTCGTTGCTACTTCATAACTGTAATGTTGCTACTGTTATGAATCGTAATGTAAATATCTGATATGCAGGATGGTCTTAGGCGACCCCTGTGAAAGGGTCGTTCGACTGCCAAAGGGGTCGCGACCCACAGGTTGAGAACCGCTGCCCTAAGGGCACGTGGGGTAAGTAAAGAGAAGTGCCTCTTCCCACTGTGTTCCAAACTGTCTTCTCAGATCATCTTCCAGTTCACGCCTTTGCATCTGAAAACCACAGAAGCGTTCTGGACTTTCTCAGTCCCCGAGCACAACATCACAGTCCCTTTCCTGCTGGTAGGCAAAGCCTCTGACCCCCTGGTCAATCTGGACAAGTCACACATCAACTTCAGCTGTCTCCTCATTGGTAAGGCTGCCCTAGAGGTTTACATTTAGAGTTGGCATGACCGGTAGGGGAGGGAAGTGGGACCAACCCAGCACTGGGCTCCAGGAGCAGCCTGGGGTGGGGACTTTTCCCTGGCGCCTTCCAGAAGCATGCCTGAGGCCACAAAATAATTACCTCTCAATCCAGTTTCCTCCAAGGATGTTCTAAACCCATGCACCCATGACCAAAGGAAATTTAGGAGCCTTGTTGCAGGTCCTCCTTGGAAGATTCCTTTAGAGCCTGGACTGACTGTCTTCATTTCCTTGCAGTTTCTTCAGCCCAGGGATCTATCCACTGAGCCAAACTGGCTAGGGCTTGTTGAACATTTTTTAGTGACCTTAGAAAATACAATAAAACAAGAAAATTAAATAATTGGCTAAAACATTGAGGGAAAATGAGACGACACTATCTCATATTGCTGTGTTGATTACTTCGGACATAGAGAACTTCTAGAGCAGTGGTTCTCAACCTTCTGGCCCTTTAAATACAGTTCCTCATGTTGTGACCCAGCCATAAAATTATTTTCGGTGCTACTTCATAACTGTAATGTTGCTACTGTTATGAACCATAATGTAAATATCTGATATGCAGGATGGTCTTAGGCAACCCCTGTGAAAGGGTTGTTCAACCACCAAAGGGGTCGAAACCCATAGGTTGAGAACCACTGCTCTAGAGAAAAGCAACACAAATACTAAGTGAACAAGACAATTTTTAGTAAATGCTTGGATGCAGGACAAGTATACCAAAATCAATAGTGTCTCTTTCTTTTCGTACTAAGCACTTAGAAACAAACAAAAAAAAATTCTATTTAGTGTTGACAAAACCTATATAACATCTAAGGATCAACATAACAAGAACAGCACAGGACCTATATGAAGAAAACTATAGAAATCCTATTAAAATGCCCCTAACCAAGATCTGAACATTTGTCAGTTCTCCCAAAAGCAAATGCAAATTTAATCAAGTTCCGATTAGAATCTCAGCTAGGGTTGCCAGGTAAAATACAGACACATAGTTACATTTGAATTTCAGGTAACAGTGAATAAATTTTAGAATCCGTATGTCAGCATAAGTATGTCCCATGCAACATTTGGGACATATACGAAAAAAATTTTTGCTTCATCTGGTAACCTTAATCCCAAAGGATTACGGGGGCCGGGGGGTGGGGGGCATGGGGGACGGGGAGAAGAGAAGTGGATAGAATGATTCGAAGTTTTTGTGGAAAAATAAATTCTCTAAAATAGTCAAGGAAAGTACGAAAAAGTAAAATAGTAATAGCAGCTGCAATAGTCAGGGCCCTGTCAAGATTCATGACATGCACGAGATCTAATTTAAAGCGTTCAATGCAGGGGGCGTTCCTGCTTGACAAAGGCCTGGGCAGAGTTAAGGGGCCTACCAGGGAAGGTGAAGCCCCCTTAGCAAAAAAGGAAGGCCTTGGGTCTGAAGGAACCAGGAGGGAAAGCAGTGTCGCCAGGATCCCCGGAGAGCTGGGCCTGAGCAGAGGAGCCACCTAGCAGGAGCAGGCAGCTGATGGGGTCAAGTTCTAGAGTAAGAGCTGGAGTCCCTCCGGGGGAGGAAGGTCACTTGCAGAGCGAAAGGAAGACAGAGGCAGTCAACGGCCGAGGAGCTTGGAAGAGGAAAGAAAAGGAGTTGGAGAATCTCCTGGAAGAAGACTTCCTCTCGCCTGCGAGCAGTGTCTGCTGAGACACTTCAGGAGCAGGCAGGTGGCTGCTCCCCCGATGGCCGGGCTGCTCCTGAGGGCTGCTGTTTCCTCCTCAGGCCGAGAAGTCCGGGAGACCGTGCAGATCATCAACAGGGAGGAGCAGGGCTTCAGTTTTGCCTTCCAGGACAACTCCCGGTATTCTGAAGGTTTCAACGAAAGCCTGGTCGTGAGTCCCATGGAAGGCTGGCTCCCACCGATGTCCAGGTAAAGAAATAGGAAGGCCCCCAAGACTTCAGCCTCCCAAAATGGCCGAAGTCCCAGGCCTGGCAGCCAAGAGAATCAGTTTCCCTTAGATAGTAACAATTCCATCTCTCTCCTACTTATTCCCTGTTATTCATTCCCCTGCCGAATTGTGTAGTATTGAGAATTTTAAGCCCTTGTTTTCAGTATCTTTTCTTATATATATTCTTTTTCTTGCTACCTACTATATTTGTAAATCCATAAAGCAATGTCCTGCCTTGCCTGGAAAACCTTCAGAATTCATAATTTGGCCTGGCTGGTGTTGCTCAGTGGTTGGGTATTGATCTATGAACCAAGAGGTCACGATTCCAATCCTGGTCAGGGCACATGCCCAGGTGGTGGGGCATGCAGGAGGTAGCTGATCGATGATTCTCTCTCATCACTGATGTTTCTATCTCTCTCTTTTCCTCTCCCATCCTCTCTGAAATCAATAAAAATATGGTTTTAAAAATTCATCATAATGTGGAGTTGTAACACCTTTTCCTCAGAGTGTATCTGCTAACCTATTGGGCTCATGTTCTTTAGCAGGCTGCAACAGGTGGCCTTGTCAGCTAATCAGCTGCCATCTTCCCCAACCAGGTTACAAATTGACATTCTCTTCACACCAAAGCAAGAAGGAGATGTGAACTTTAATTTGATGTGCAATGTGAAAAGGAAAGCCCACCCTTTGACCTTAAATGTCAAGGCTGAGGGCTACACTATGAATGCAGAGATCAAGTGCAAAGACAGGACTGGCTTACTCACTCTCTTGACTCCCAGTCAGACCACCATTGTCAACTTCTATGAGGTAAAGGTGTGAGAGGGCCTTGCTCCCTCTTGGTTTCTGCGCTGGCTGGGAAAGGCAGTACCAGTGACTGTTCTTCTTAGCTGAATCTCTGTTTCAAATGCCAGGGAGACCAGGAGAATATAGAAAGGTACCAGGAGCCGCTCCATCCCCAGAATGTGTATGAGTTTGATGTGAATGTTTTCTTATTTTTCAAGGGATGGAGAGACGGTAGGGGAGGGGGAGAATGCTTGTGCTAAGCAGATAGGCAGGATGTTTGGCTACCAAGGGAGGTCTGAGAACCAAATTGCCCTCTTACTCTTCATATATGAGGGGCCCCCAACACTTCATAGCCCTTGCTGGGATATCTGGCCACATTCATCTAATGATGTTCAACTCATTAACATCATCTTACATGTCTGTTTTCCAAGGGATATATTCCCCCAACGTGTTACATATCCTGATCCCAGAGGAGTGAACCATGGTTTGCATTCACTCAACATACTGCCCTGTGCTCTGTCTCTCAGGTGGAGCTGAATGAGTGTGCCCAGTGTGAGTTCACCTTCATCAACGCTGGGAAGTTCAACTTCAGCTTCCAGGCAGAGCTCTCCGGCCCCAAAGCCCTGGTGCAGTACTTCGAGTTCTCACCCATGGAGGGCAGCGTGGATGTGGGGCAGAGTACACCCGCCAGCCTGTCCTTCCAGCCATTTAAGAAATGTGTCTTGAAGGGCCTGGAACTCAGAATCAAGGTGAGACCATTGAACACTGTCCAACACTGAACACACTCACAGCATCCTGTCTTGGAAGAAGAATTCTCCTGAGTGTTTCTGGTCTTCTCTACCTGCCAGAAGCCCCTGGGGCGTGGCTGTGTTGGAGATAGTCCCATACTCTCTAGTAATGGCCTCCACCAGGTGCCTGGTGATTGTCAACTGAAAAGCAATTAAGCACCCATGTACTGGTATATCGCGCAGCCATTAAAGTAAATCAGGGAGCCTGGGAACCAAGAAGTCACCGGTCTGATTCCTGATCAGGACACATGCCTAATCAGGAATCAGGTTGTAGGCTTGATCCCCAGGAGGGGCCATGCAGGAGGCAGCCGATCAACGATGTTCCTCTCATCCATGTTTCTATCTCTTGATTCCTCTCCCTCCCTTTCTCTCTAAAAATCAATAAAAAGCATATTTTACAAAATAAAATAAACAAGGGAGATTGATGAGAGGGGAGGGAACATGCCTGGGTTGTGGGCTCCATCCCGAGTAGGGGCATGAATGAGGCACACAATCAATGATTCTCTCTCATCATTGATGTTTCCATCCCTCTCTTCCTCTCCCTTCCTCTCTGAAACCAATAAAAAATATTTTTAAAAAATAAACTTCTGCCGAAACCGGTTTGGCTCAGTGGATAGAGCGTCGGCCTGCGGACTGAAGGGTCCCAGGTTCGATTCCGGTCAAGGGCATGTACCTGGGTTGCGGGCACATCCCCAGTAGGGGATGTGCAAGAGGCAGCTGGTCGATGTTTCTCTCTCATCGATGTTTCTAACTCTCTATCTCTCTCCCTTCCTCTCTGTAAAAAATCAATAAAATATATTTAAAAAATAAAAAATAAAAAAAAAATAAACTTCTAACCTCTGAGTTAGACTCTCTGCAGATGGAACCTTGGGACCTGTGTGTGTGTTTTTAAACACTTGACTGTTTCCCTCCTCCACCTGAGGGTTTAAGGGCCCTTCCCTCTCACTTCTCCTAATCACACCCCACCTGCCGTTTGCTCCCCACAGATAAGCCACGGTCCAACATTTACGTGCAGCATCTCAGGCTCTGCCGTGAACCCTGCTGTCCATTTCTCATTCACCAGCCACAACTTTGGGACCTGCTTCATCTACCAAGCCGGGATGCCCCCATACAAACAGACCCTGGTTATCACCAACAAGGAGGAAATGGCTATGAGGTGAGCAGACTTCCCAGAGCCGCCAGATGAGTCTGCAGCTCCTGGTGGGTCCTACAGCCTTTAGGCAGGCGGCGTGCGGCCACGACAGAAGGAGAAGGGTCATGGGGATGAGTCAGACACAGGTGGACATGAATCCCCAGTCTCCTTTCCCCACCACTGACGCTGATGCTTGGAGAGCCGTGGGCTCCTCCAGCAGGTGTGGCTCAGTGGTTGTGCATCGACCTGTGAACCAGGAGGGCACATGCCCCAGTTGTGGGCCCAATCCCCAGTGTGGGGTGTGCAGGAGGCGGTGGATCAGTGATTCTCTCTCAACATTGGTGTTTCTTTCCCTCTCTCCCTCTTCCTTCCTCTCTCTGAAATCAATAAAAACTTATTTTTTTTAAAAAAGAGCACTGGGCAAAGGGTCATGGGACTTTGAGTTTGAGACCTGATTTTGCCAGGCTCTCATGGTGTTATTCGAGGTAAGTAGCTTGACTTTGCCCAGGAGAATGTGGACTGGATCATTGCTGGGTCCTTTTCAGCCCTTAAATGCTATGACTGTAGGACAGCAGGGCAGGAAATCCATCAGGACCAAGCTCAGGTGGGGGGCGGGGGAGGGGGGGAGGACGGGGCCACATCAGTCCCCCTGGGTCAGCCTTCTCAGAACTTAGGCACCTTCCTCCTGCTTGTGTCCAGCATAGATTGTTTGTACACCAATACCACCTACCTCGAGGTGAGCTTCCGTGCGGATGTGATAAAGCCAGGAAAGTCAATGGAGATTCCAATCACCTTTTATCCTCGAGAAAGTATCAGTTATCGAGAACTCATCCCCTTTGAAATCAACGGGCTCTCCCAACAAGTAGTTGAAATCAAAGGGAAAGGCACCGAAATGAAGGTAAGAGGAGATCCTCAGACTGGCAGCTTCCCTGCCCTTCCCCAGCCCCCTTGGCCCACCTGCGCCCACTCTCTCCCTCCCCTCTCCCCATCTCCTGCCCTAAGCTGCTCTGCCGCAGGTCGCAGGTCGGCAGTCCCACTGAGGGGTGAGTTAGCCAATCAGTGAATCATGGATCTTACTCAATTCCAAACTTTACTGTATCGAAGAACAGGCACTGGAAAACAGTCTTTTTCTTGGGGAAGTTTGAGGCTGTCAGATGTAAGGTCCCAAGCATGTCCTTTTTCTCCCACGTTAGGACATGTTTTGTTTTCAGGTGTAATAGGCAAGACTTGTTTGAAGCAACGTATGCAGACATGTGTCTCAGTCATGGACATCTTCCCTCACCACCACAGGGATGCCCATTCTCCGGTCAGCCCCAGGCCCCAGGATTAGATTCTCTGAGGGGTTCCTTCTTGCCCGGTGCTCCTAACAGGAAGGGGATGCTCGATTCCTACTGCTCATCCCTTTCTTCCCAGGGTCTGTCTGGTGGGAGTATTTGCATTTAACCAGTTATCGGCCACGATATTTTGACTTTAATTTGAAAAGGTCCGCCGCTTGCGTCTGTAGACGCTTATGGCGTACAAGTGGTTAGCAGGAGGTTTTAGAAGTCTGAAGGTCTTCCAAGAGTCTCAGGGATGCGTGGGACAGGTCAGCAATCAGGAGAACATGGGAGGGGTGTGTTCCCATGAAGCCAAAGGCGCCCCAGGGCAATGCCACCTGGCGTGTCTGTGCCCAAGCCAGGGACGGGCTCTCTTCTGATGTCATTGATTCGTTCATTTGCTCAGGCTTTCATGCACTCACTCAGCACCCATTATGTAGCAGGTACTTTGGGAAAACCCAGAGGTGATTTAAATATGTTCTCTGGCTTCCAAGAGCTCACAGGCTGGTGCTGAAGATTAGCTTTTTCAGACAAAATGGAAGCATGTGGGCCAGATACAAAGACGGCTGGAGGGAGAGAGTTCAATGTAGTGACTGGTGGGATGACAGTGACCAGTGGGTGCTGCCCTCCTGGAGGGGAAGTCCCAGCCTGACCGTCCTCGGGTCCAGGCCAACGCTGTGTTCCGAGCTTCAGATGAGGACTTGGAAATGTCCGCCTCTGCCGCGGCCATTGTAGTTGAAATCACCGTCCTCCTCACACCCGAGGCTTCTCTCAGGCCCTCCTCCCGTCCATCTCCGCAGGGGAGCGAGCCGCGCGCTCTCACAAAATACACATTCGGTGGGGTCACCCCATGCTTCATTGTCTTCCTTCCAGAATAAAACCTGACCACCCCCCAGACTTAATCTTCTCAATTCTCTCCCTCCCTCCCAGCCACTGAGCCACCCCCTCCAGCTCAGGACCTCATTCCTCCCCCGGAGGTGCTCGCCAACCCCACCCCACCCTGACTCACCCGGACTAGACCCTACCCTTCCTTTAGCTCTCAGTGTAAACATGCCTAAGGAGGAGGGGGCGGTCCCCAGACCCCCATCTATCTCAGTCCCCTGTAATGGGCTCTCCAGGTGCCCTGAGCTTTTCCGTCACGTCTATTAACCCAGTTGTAATTATGTCGTCGTTGTTTAGTGGGCATTTTATGCACATAAATGTTATTGAGCGAGTAAAGGCTCATCTAATGTGAAGACTGGGGGACACGGAAAGCGAGGGACCACCCTTGGCTCCCCCAGATAGATGTGGGATGTTCATTTTTCTCGTTAACTGACAAACCCTCCCTCCCTGCTCTCTTTCTCGTCCCACAGATTGTAGTCCTAGATCCAGCCAATAGGATCTTGAAGTTAGGAGCTGCCCAGCCAGGGCAGGTGGTGAAAAAAACAGTTTCCATCATGAACAACAGCCAAGCCCCGGTCACATTTAGCCAGTCGGTCCTGTTCTCGACTCCAGAACTCCGGGAGCCTAAGGTGGGTGCTCGGGGCTCCCAGTGGCCTCTCCATGCTTCCCTATGACACGGACGACCAGGCTAACATCACTAACAGTTCACAGTTCTCCCGCACCTTCACTGTGCCAGGACGTGCTAACAGCGTTCCATGTGCCGTCTCTGATCACCTTCACACAAACAGTCCAGGGTCCGTGCTTTTATTACGCTCAGTTTGCATCCAAGGAAAGCGAGGCTTAAAGAGGCAACATCCCCCTACAGGGCAGCAGAGTGAAGCAGAAGGAGTGGACTTGACGGGAGGCAGTAAATTCTAATGAATAAACACAGACCTTCATTGCAGACAATTTGAAAAATACAGTATAGAAAATCATAAAGGAAAACATTTTGCCCATAATCTCATACCCAGAAATAATCACTGAACATTTTGATGTCTATCTTTCCCGTGTTTTTCCTACACATTTTTTTACAAAAATAAAATGACAATGTTCGTATTATTTTGAACCCATCTGGGAACACATCATAAATATTTTCTCTGCCCTCCAATGCCACGTGCTCACTGCTCCCTCCATTATGTAGATAGACCAACTATCTATTTCTGCTCAACTCAGGTGTTTCTAACGCTTTATGTTATAAGCAACAAGGTCATGTCCATGCAACCAAAGCTTTGTGTGCATCCATGGCTCCCTCTCATGGCAGACTCCTAGAAGAGGGCTTGTGGGTCAAGAAGAAGTATATGTTTCAGTACCCATCACCATCTGCCCCTGAAAGGGTGTCCCCTCTGCACTCTTCATCTGTGTGAGATGCACCCTTATTCCTAAGTCCATGTCCCAAGCTCCCTGGAGAGAGGAGCTACCAGTCCCAGCTGCCTGCTCCCCATCTTACAGTCATCAGTATTTGGGTGGCCCCTTGACAATGGACTAGGTGTGCTTCAATCATCCCAAGGGTAAATGTATCCATCCCCTTACATTTACTCAGTAAATATGTGCGAGGTGCTAAAAATATAAAGATGTGTCTTAACTTGGGCTGCCCTAACAAAGTAGACTGGGTGGCTTACACAGCAGACATTTATTTTCTCACTAGAGGCCCAGTGCATGGATTCGTGCACCGGTGGGACCCCTCGGCCTGGCCTGCGGGGATCAGGCCAAAACCGGCTCTCTGATGTCCCCCAAGGGGTCCTGGATAGCGAGAAGGCGCAGGCCAGGCCGAGGGACCCCACTGGTGTAAGATGGGGGCCGGGGAGAGACCTCAGGAGGGCTCCAGGGCATGTCCAGCCCGGCTCGCCCAGTCCCGATCGGCTGGACCCCAGCAGCAAGCTAACTTACCGGTCGGAGCGTCTGCCCCATGGTGGTCAGTGTGCATCATAGTGACTGGTCAAACAGTCGGACACTTAGCCTATTAGGCTTTTATTATATAGGATAGTTCTGGAAGCTGGAAGTGTGAGGTCAGAGTGCCTGCATGGTCTGCTTCTGGTGAGGGCTCTCCTCCTGGCTCATAGGCGGCCACCTTCTGGCTGTGTGCACACACAGCAGAGAGCAAGCAAGACTGAGATTTCCAGTGTATCTCATCCCATCAGGAGGGTCCCTCTGTCATGGCCTCATCTAAACCTAATTACTTCCCAGAGGTTCGGAAGAGGGGCGGGCTGCTCAGAGGAGGACTGTACTGAGATTTACAGGATGGAGAGGTATCTCCCAGGCAGATGGGGGAGGGTGTTTCCGGCAGGCAAAGGTGTACCGGCCAGAAAGAGCCGGTGCTTTTGGAAACCCAGATGTGATTCAGTGTGACAGGAGCACTGTAGACCACCTCGGGGATGCAGGACACAGAAACACTGGCCATGAGAGGCCAGCCAAAGCCAGAGACACAGTGGGTATCTCCACCCAGGACCCCATGTTGCGCACTTTGCCATCCAGAGAAAGAGAGCAATAATCACTTAACATTTTGGTGCCTGTCTTTCCACTAATAAGGCTTCGCGCGCCTCATTAATCCAAGTTAGAGTCCTGGTTTCCAAGAGGTCAGGGCCCTCACAGTTTGCCTACCCATCTGCTTCTTTGGTTGATCAGACACAAGCTGCCAGGGACCTGTGCTGACACCATCACCTGGGGGATGGCTTCCAACATCGTTGTGTTTTGAGAATGTGCTAGGATTGCTTTGCTATTGCAGCCTCTCGGCCCGTTATCTCACGCCCTGCTTCCTGGGTCCACTTGCTGGCGACTGCCCAGCTCTGGACCAGAGGGAGCTCAAGGTCGAAAAGGGGTCTGGCTTCCTTAGAGCTGATTTTGATTTGCCTTTACCAGGACCGGCGGGGAGAAGGGACCACACAAATTCAGACAGTGGCTCTCCAACTTTAGAACTCACGAGTCACCCAGGGCACCTTTGAAAATGCAGGTCCCAGGCTCCTCCAAGGACCCTGACCCAGCCGGCCTGGGGCAGGGCCCCGGAATCTGCATTGTACCCCGCGCAAGGAGCTGGGGAGCGCTCCTCAAACTCCACATAGCGCTGTGTTACTGCCTCTTCTGCTTCCTCCAGCAAAGAGCAGTGGTTCTTCGCAAGGGGTTAGAAAGAGAATTAACATTTACTGAGTGCCTGTTACGTGCCCTACATTTTATTTTATTTTTTTAATATGTTTTTATTGATTTCAAAGAGGAAAGGAAATGGGGAGAGAGAGAGAGAGAAACATCAATGATGAGAGGGAATTGTTGATCCTTTGCTTCCTGCACACCCCACACTGGGGATCGAGCCCATAACCCAGGTAGGTGCCCTGACAGGGAATCAAATCGTGACCTCCTGGTTCATAGGTCAACGCCCAACCACTGAGCCACACCAGCTGGGCTGTGCCAGACATTTTATATAGATGATCTAGCTCAGTGGTCGGCAAACTCATTAGTCAACAGAGCCAAATATCAACAGTACAACGACTGAAATTTCTTTTGAGAGCCAAATTTTTTAAACTTAAACTATATAGGTAGGTACATTGTTATTAATTTAATTAGGGTACTCCTAAGCTGGCCTTTGCTAAAAACATCCTCAATCTGATTGAGGTACGTTCGCTGAGGTCGACCCCTTCCAACTCTCCCATCCACACTCGTCTTGTATACTTGTTTCATCTATCTCCTTTCCGAAATCCGACTTCTGCGCATGGGCCACAAAGTTTCAATTGCACTGTACATGCGCGCCCGCACGTGGTATTTTGTGGAAGAGCCACACTCAAGGGGCCAAAGAGCCGCATGTGGCCCGCGAGCCTCGGTTTGCCGACCACGGATCTAGCTGAATGAGTCACAGGAAGTTGAAGTCACTTGTCAAAGATGGCACAGCTGGTGAGAGAGAGCAGCAGTGAGATTTGCCCCCTGGGCTGTTACCACCCCAGCAGCAAGACCTCCAGGAATGGAGGCCTCAGCAGCCCCCCGCCCGCAGCTGCTGAAGCTCGCTGTCCTCTTGCCCAGGTCATCACCCTGGTCCCCTTCAACAACATCACGCTGAAGCCCAAGGAAGTCCGCAAGCTGGAGATCATCTTCGCCCCGAAGAAGCGTGTCCCCCCCTTCTCCGAGGAAGTGTTCATGGAGAGCATGGGGCTCCTGCGCCCCCTCTTCCTGCTCAGTGGCTGCTGCCAAGCCCTGGAGGTCTCCCTGGACCAGCAGCATATTCCCTTTGGACCAGTCGTGCATCAGACAAAAGCCACGCGTCGCATCCTCATGCTGAACACGGGCGACGTGGGTACCAGGTAGGAGCTGGGGCAGAGCGCTCAGACCCTGGGTCGGATTAGACACTTGTCTTACAGGTGTGGCCGCTTTTTATTTCTTCGCTTTGCTTTTTTCATCTCTTTCCTTCCTTCAAAATGTGACTGCGATGGCCTGCTGACTAAAATGAATATTCTAGAACATTTGCTCAGTGCCTGTTAGATGCCCTTTGCATGGCTCATCTCATTTAATCCCAACAATTCTACGAGACCAATGCTATGACTGATCCGTTTTACAGACGAGAAAACTGAAGTAAAAAGAGATTAAGTACCTTTTCCAAAACCCCACATTTAGCAATAACTTACCGGGCGCAGGTGCAATGCTGAGTATTCTTACCTAGAAGAGCCCATTTGACTGTCCCGGGACCCAAGGTAGGTACTGTGTTGTTCCCATTTCACAGGTGAATTTGCGGCTCAAGGAGGTCAGACAGCTTGCCTGGGGTCACACAGCCAGGAGGTGGGAAAGACAGAATTGGCGCCCAGGTGCACCTATGGCAGCTCTTCCCACTTCCTAGCAGGTGCCCACCCCAGTCACTGCTCAGGCTGCCACCAAAGCTGTGCGTGCGGGCTGCACACCGCACACCTGCAGGGCACCCCTCACACAAACTCGGTGTGAATGGAGCCCTGCGGGTGCGGTGTGGCAGCCCTTGCACTGGAAGCACATTGGTCTGCACTGTCCACCCTCTGTCTCCTGCCTGGACCAAATGCCAGACCACAGAGTGATGACCACTCAGAGCCATCGCATCCCAATGCCACCAAGAGCAGATGCAGCTCTCCCAGGAAGGGATCATCTGCACCCCCCTGGATCCAGCCGGGGAGGCCGTGCAGGGAGTGGTCAGGGCCACAGCCTGAGGAAGGTTCCAGTCCTAGCTCAGCCACTGACCTTGAGCGCACACGTGGAGACATGTTCATGTGTATGTCCCCGATGCAGCCACTTCCCACCCTGCTCAGCTCTGAGAGGGAGCCGGTTACCCAGGAGGGACCTGGACCCTGCCCACAGCCTCTGCTTTACCGAGCAATCTTTCTCCTCCCAGTCCCATGGAGTCCACAAGGGGTGACCCTCCAGTCTCTTGTTCTCAGCAGCGTTGAGGACACCCCCAGGACATCCCCTAGTAAACTGTCTTCCTTGTCTCCTTTTGTCTTGGAAAAGGTTTAAATGGGATGTCAAAAAATTTGAGCCTAATTTCTCCATCAGCCCAGAAGAAGGCTATATCACTGCAGGCATGGAGGTTTCTTTGGAAGTGACCTACCACCCCACAGAGGTGGGCAAGGAGAATCTCTACAAAAACTTGCTCTGCTTCATCCAGGGTGGCCCTCCTCTGAGCCTAACCCTGTCTGGAGTCTGCGTGGGACTACCTGCAGTGAAAGAGGTCAGTAAGTGCTGCCCACAGAAGGGCCATGGCCAGAGTGGGCCTAGAAAGCCCCACACGTGAACCCAGCCAGGCCTTCCAGAGACAGATGCTCTGTTCAAATAGTCCTCGGTGCCCACCTCAAATATTCAGACTTGCCCCCGCCCCCACAGGGCCTTTGCACATGCTCTTTCCACTGCTGGAATGTTCTTTTTCCCTCTTCATTCAGTTAATTCCTATTCATTCTTCAGCTCTCAATTCAAGCATCACATTCTCAAGGAAGCTTGCCTTGACATCTCTGGCTAGATCAAGTTCTGTTATAAGCCACGAGTGAAGGGTGAACGCCTTTACTGTGTGTTGTTGTTGTTTTTAATGGCCTTGGGTTAACCCTCTGCTAGCTCTGTTCCTAGAAACCTAACAGTGCACTGCCCACTGTGTTCCTGGTAACACTGCTTATGGTAAAAATGATACCTGATCCCCATCTCTCTAATTGTGTTATTTCAAGAATGGTATGTAAATGGAAACATACAGAATGCTATACACATGCATGAACAAATCTTGGCAAGAACACATGCTTTCATTTTCTTGGGTACTTAGGCGTGGATGGCTGAGTCATAGGGTAGATATATGTTCACTTTCTTAAGAATCTACCAAACTGTTTTTCCAAAGTGGTTGTGTCATCTCACATTCCCACTAGTAATGTCTGACATTTCTATTTGTATCACATCCTTATCCTTGATGTGGTCTTTCTTTTTTTAGTCATCCTAATAGACATGTAGTGGTATTTCATGGTAGTTTTTCATGTGCATTTCCCTAATGACTAATGATGTTGCGGATCTTTTCAGATACTTATTTGCCATCCATATGTATTCTTTTTTGAAATATTTGTTCACATCTTTTATTTGTAATTGGGTTGTTTGTTTTCTTAATATTGAGTTTTCAGAACTCTTTATATATTCAGGACACAAGTTTTACATTTAGATCATCAGTCTGTTCATTTTTGTATGTAGTACAAGATATGGATCAAAATTCTTTTTACTTATATGGATACCTAATTATTCCAGCACCATTTGTTGAAAAGATTATTCTTTCTCTACTGAATTGCCTTTGCACTTTGGTGAAAACCCAATGGATCATATATGTGTGTGTCTATTACTGAACTCTATTCTTGTCCATTGGTCTATTTGACTCTCTTAACACCAATACCACATTGGTCCATGTTGTTACATTCAATGTCCAGTTCTCACCCTCATCTTAGTTGACCTCCTGGTAGCATCTGACACCCTGAACAAGTACCTCCTTCTTCACACAGTTCCTTCAAATGGCTTCCAGGATGCCACCCTCTCCTGGTTCTCTTCCTGCCTGATTAGCTGCTCCTTCCCATCTCTTCTCATTCTTCTTAACATTGGAGTGTGCCAGTCAGGAATTCGTCCTTAAAGTCCTGCTTTTTTCTAAATGCACTTACTTCCTGATAATTGCATCCAGTATTTTCGCCTTTAAAAAAAAACTGCTAAACGGACAACTCCCAATATGCACCTCCAGTCTGAACTTGGCTTTGAACTCCGAACTTGTCAGTTCCACCGCCTGTGTAAGGTGCCGCTTTTCTTCCAGACGGTAAATTTCACCTGCCAGGTGCGCTCCAAGCACACGCAGACCATCCAGCTTTCAAATCGCACCAACCAGACCTGGAATCTGCACCCCATCTTTGAGGGCGAGTACTGGGAGGGGCCTGAGTTCATCACTCTGGAGCCCCATCAGCAAAACAAGCCCTATGAGATCACCTACAAGCCCCGCACCATGAACGTGGAGAACCGCAAGCACCAGGTAGGCTGAGCACCCCGTCAGTTCGTGTCCTGGCGTGACTGGAGGGAGCAGTGGTGTGACAGAGGTTAGGAGACAGAGCTTGGCAGCTCAGAGAATGTTCGAACGAGAGGGGACCCTACCTTCTGGTATCTTCACTCTCAACACTATGCAGATACAGCCTTGGCTGCCATCATAAACATACCCAGTTTTTTCATTCTGTTCATTTTCACTGTACATTCTATCATGAGCATTTTTTATTTAATTGGGTAGTCTTCATGATAATCATTTTTTTTAATATTTTTTTTTATTTCAGAAAGGAAGGGAGAGGGAGAGAGAGAGAGAAACATAAATGATGAGAGAGAATCATTGATCAGCTTCCTCCTGCACAGCCCCTACTGGGATCGAGCCCACAACCCAGGCATGTGCCCTTGACTGGAATTGAACCTGGGACCCTTCAGACCGCAGGCTGATGGACTAACTACTGAGCCAAACCAGCTAGAGCGATAATCATTTCTAATGGTTGCCTAAAATTTTGAATGAGGGTTTCATGATTTATTTAACATTCCCCAGGTGTTGAATATTTAAGTTATCTCCATATATTCCTATAAATGGTTCTAATATATATGCTTATGTATGTATGTAACATTTTCCCTGGAGGGATTTTTCTAAAGTAAGACCCCTTGCCTGTGATTCCTGGTTAAAACACATGGGAATGTTGTTATGAATCTTGAAACAGCTGCTTCCCCAAAGTGTTAAGCTCATTTGCAGAGCCTCCGTTAATCCCGGGTGACTACCATGCCTGAGAGGTGCCTAATAAAGGCCCCTCGGTATCATTCTGATTGCATTTCTTCCTCTCCTTAGGGCACCCTCTTCTTCCCCCTGCCAGATGGAACCGGCTGGCTATATGCGCTGCATGGAACTGCCGAGCCCCCCAAAGCCGTGGCCAATATCTACCGTGAAGTGCCATGTAAGACGCCCTACACTGAGCTCCTGACAATCACCAACTGGCTGAACAAGCCCCAGAGGTAAGGGAGTGGGGCAAGGGGTTGGGGTGGGGGAGACAGAAGGAGGACTTCTACTGTCTAGCCTGGCCCTTCCCCTGGTCAGGGCCTCTGGAGGACATTGGCTAAAAGGGCCAGAGACCAAGTTCCCTGATGTGGCCAGGCATTGCCTGAACTCTAAGCCTCCAGAGACATTCTCCTGTTCGTGCTCTCTGTGAGTGGCTGGTTACCTATGAACCTCCTAGAACAGTGCCTGGCCCAAAATAAGTGCTCAAGAAATGTTAGTTATTACTATCGTCGTAACAATAATCATGGTGGTTATTATTGAGTGTCCAGTCTTATTACCTAAGCCACTGGCCAGAGAAGGACATCCCTTGGACCTTGGACTTGCAGTGGAAGTAGAGAAGAATGCAAGGACCAGAGGAGCTTGAGGCCAAACAGCCTAGTCCCCTTCTTTTATAGTTCAGGAGCCAAAGGTTGGGAGAAGAGGCCCCTTGCTGAGCATTGTGGGTCAAGGCCCACACCTAAGTTCTGCCAATAACTAGTCATGTTACCTGCGCATGTTATCTCCCGTCTCTTGGCCTCATTTCCTCGCTAGTAAATGGAGATGGTAATGACATGCACCTCCTGCAGACATCACAGGGATTAAAGGCCTGTAACACATGCAGAGCACGGACTCAATAGCTGGCACATAATAGGTGGTCAGTGAATGGCAGTTACTGTTACTGTTAGAGACAGAGTGAAGGCAAGAACCCTGGACCCATGTGTTTTACCTAAAATCAAGAGTAGAGATAGCACCTTTCGTTCCTTTCTTTGGGCAAATATCTCATTTTCTCTCTCCTCCCTTCTTGTGCTCCTGTGGCTCCCCCAGGTTCCGGGTCATTGTGGAAATGCTGAAACCAGAGAAGCCAGACCTAAGTGCCTCCTTAAAGGGCCTTGATTACATTGATGTACTGTCTGGATCCAAGAAAGACTACAAGCTGAACTTCTTTTCCCACAAGGAAGGACTATACAGCGCAAAGGTATCCATATGTCAAAGGCATTGCCCTGGAACCCTGGAGGCCTGACCCTGAGGTTGACAGTCCTGGTGTTAGGGAGTGAAGAAGTCCTCCAGAGCCAGCCTATCCTTATCCTGTCGGGCTGACCATTTAAAGTGACCTGGCAAAGGCAGACAGGTTCCCCCGCCTCTTTAAGATGAGACCAGATTGCAAGGCCAGCCAGCCATCACGTAGGCCCATGCCAAAGCTTTCAAGGAAGAAGAGTCATGAAAACTCTTATGCAGTTTGTAACACTGGACTGGCAAATACCAGGCCACACAAATAAAATCCCATTTTCTGAGTGCTTATAGAGTGTCCAGCATTGTGCTGAGCACTCAACACACATAGCTAGTAATGTCAGAGCCAGGATTCAACTCAGAGTCATCTACTCCAAGACACCACGGGATCTTTCATATAGGAGCTGTTTTTCCTAATTCATTCATTAGTTCAATAAATATCTATTGAGCATATATGCCATATAGTAGGTGCTGCTGACACAGCAATCATCAAAAATAGACACAGTCCCTATTCTCATGGAACACACAGTCCAGTGAAGGGAGATGGACATTCAATCAAATAATTGCACTATGAATGCATTATTACAAAATGAGGTATGTGCTTTGAAGAAAGGGGGCATATGTGAACTCACAAGAGAGGTCAGGGCTGAAGATAATATATGGGAATTATCCATTTATCGATAGTATTTAAAACTATGTAGAGAATGGAATTACCTAGGGAAAGATTTTAATGTGAAAAAAAAAACAGAAAGTAGGAACACATCTCCCCTGCCAGAAGAGATAACAACAAAACCCACCCAGCAGCATGTCATCACTCCTACAATCACTGAGTTAGGCTGCTCCACTCAGATCACATTCACAAACAAGTTAAAAGAGAACCTTAAAATCAAGGAATCACAAAATATCTGAAGGGGGGGGGAAAGCCACCATAAAATAGAAATACCAGCTCAACAAAGAAGAACTCCTGAGATAAGAGGTATTAAAGCAAACAGAAGAAGACTTTCAGTGAATATTATCAACTAGAGGCCTGGTGCACAAATTCATGCATGGGTGGGGTCCCTTGGCCTGGCCGGAGATCAAGGCCTATGGGGGAGTGGGGGGCCGAGTGGGGGAGGGGCCGCAGAAGGTTGGCTGTGGGAGCTCACTGACCACCAGGGGGCAGATCCTGCGTTGAGCATCTGCCCCCTGGTGATCAGTGTGCGTCATAGCCACTGGTCGACCAGTTGTTCTGGTTGTTCCAGTCGTTTGGTCGTAACGGGCACTTAGGCTTTTATATACTAGTATATAGATATCCTTAAAGGAATGAAGGAAGATAATCATACCCATGAAATAAGAACAGACTGTTGTGGAAGAGAATCAACTGGAGACCCTGGAAATGAAAAATAGGATATTTGGAATAGAAAGCCATAAAGGTCCTGGCCAGTGTGTCTCAGTTGGTTGAGTGTTGTCCTGTGCACCAAAAGGGCACCAGTTCAATTCCAGTTGGTCTGACACATGCCTGGGTTGTGGGCTTGATCTCCAGTGTGGGGACATGAGGAAGGCAGCTGATTGATATCTCTGTCTCACATCGATGGATGTTTCTCTCCCTCTCTCTCTCTAGAATCACTCTAGAATCAATAAAAACATTTTTTAAAAGAAAACCATAGAGGACAGCTGAATAGTGTAATGAACTCTGGGGAAGAATTATTTGTAAGTGAGAAGACAGAACTGAGTAATATCACCAGGCTTTAGCACATGAGTACAAAGAAATTGAAAGGTGAAAGGAAAGAATAACAGGTGTTGGTGAGAGTGCGGAGAAATTGAATCCTTTGCTGTGGTAATATAAATAGTGCAGTCACTTTGGAAAACAGTCTGGCATTTCTTTATATGCTTAAACATAGAGTTACCATATGACTCAGCAATTTCACTCCTAGATATATACCCAAAATATAAACTACTTAGAATGATTTTCAACCTAGAACTCAAAACTATTATGAGAGCAAAATAAAGATATTTTTAAGATGCAAGGACTCAAAGTATCCCACCCATATACACAATCTTTGAAAAAAGTGCTACAAATTAAAACTTTTTAAATGAACAAAATTTAAAAAATAAGTAAATGAATCCAAGAGGAAAGTAAAAGGATATAATGAAAAAAGAATCTAAATTGATGGGTAATTTCAAATAATTGTTGGAAAGCAATCTGAAATACTTCATAGGGCTCAAGTTAGGAAGGGAAAGAATAAAATAAGGCAATGAAAATAATGTTCTCATTCTGTTGGAAGTAAATGGGGAAATATAGAGAAGCATAGGGAGAAAATAGAGATTTTCATAAACTGTAGGTGTGAACAGAAATATATAAATAAATATATGTATTAAAATGTAAGTGTAAAGACTTTTGAGTAAAAATGACAATGAGCCCAGATCACAGAATTTCTTTACAGTAATAAGTATTTAAATTGACAATGACAATAACAAAAAAAAGTGTTTTAATCAACAATAACAACAACATTTTTAAAAATCAACAGCACCTTTGGTTATGATGGAGTAACTAGGCCTCCCACCGTATAAACCATAAGCTGGACAAAATGTCTGGGGCACATCTTCTCAGTCATGGAAAACAAGCAGCACAATACTGCAATTCATCAGAGAGAAGGGGATGTATGAGCCCCATGATTGTCCTGGCTCTCCGCCCAGGGACAGTTTCCTGACTGCAGTGCAGTGAGCTGGAGTCTCAGTAAAGCGCAGCAGCCCCGGTGAGCTGAGGTGACAGAAATCAGAGTTTGGTGCAGCCGGAATAGCCGGTCCCTGCAGGGTAAGGCAGCAGAAAGGAGGGAGCAGGATAGGGAGGGAGTGGGCGTACAAAAGTCCATACAGGAGTTCCCCTCGAAGTCCTTGGCTGAAGGTGGACTGCCCATGCACAGGAAGAGACTACATGAAACAGCAGCTGCTACAGGGGTGATAAGGACTGAAGGTGCCCTACATGAGTCAGCGCCGGGGAGCATGGGAGGTCTGGCCCAGCCAGAGTGGAGAGGCTGCATGAACAACACCTCCTTAACCCTGGTAACGCAGGTGAAATCCCTGAGAGGCCAGAAGAAAGCACCGTGTCCATAGGATAAGATCTTCTGAGGGCCAGCCTGGAAAAGCCTTACACTAAAAAATTTGGATAGCAAACCCCACCAAGTTGGAAGGTCTTGAGGAACACCATGAGGTTTCCACATATCTGCTCTAACCAAGCATGAAACCAAACCTACACAAGTTTAAAGTGTCAGTGATTGAACTGCCTCCTAGAATAAAATCAACACTCGTATAAGGAAGATAACAGAATCCAGAATCTCTACAATGATCATCAACAGTGTCCAATACACAAACAAAAATTACTAGACTTGTAAAAAAGCCGTCAATGGAAGCTGATTCCAAGATGGGACAGATATTGGATTTAGCAGGCAGAGACCTCAAAGAAGCTATTATAAACATGTTCAAGAACTGAAAGAAAATATTTTAAGTAATTCAATAAAATATTATCTTAATGAGTGTACTGATAAAGAATCTCAGCAGAGAAATAGAAACTGAAAAAGAACCGAATGGATACTCTAGAACTGAAAAGTACAACAAACTGAAATGAAAAATGCATTGGATGTGCTCGACAGCTGATGAGAGATGTGAGAAGATACACTGAACATGAAACAAATCAATAGAAAGTTTCCAATCTGAAGAACACAGAGAAAAAAGATAGAGGAAAAACCACCAGAGCCTCAGGAACCTGAGAGAAAAATATAAGGTGGTCTAATACATGAGTAATATGAGTCAGAAGAAAAGAAAATGAGAATGGGACAGAAAATTATTTGAAAAAATAATGGCTGAAATGTCCCTGATTTGGGTTTTTTTAAATGATTTACAGATCCAAGAAACTTGGCAAACCTCAGGCAGGAAAAATATAAAGGAAACCATGCCTATGATCATCATAGAAACACTGCTGAAAACCAAACAGAAACAGAAAAGCTTAAAGCAACCAGATTTAAGATCTATTACATACAGGGGACAACAATAAAAGTGCCCCCTGACTTCTCTTCAAAAGGAATGGAAGCCATCTACGAAGTGCTGAAAGAAAACGAAATGATCAACCTAGGATTCTTTATTCACTAGATGGGAACTTGGGTCTGCTGAGAGTGAAATAGGCATTTTCAGATAAAAGAACACGAGAGAATTCATTGCCAGGAGACTTGCATTACTGAATGCATTAGACAACTGTCAGCTCATAGCAAATATAACATTGTAAAGTGGACGTTCTTCTATACGGAGAAGTAAAAGGTCCGATGACAAACGCACAAAGATGGGACGGACGGGTCAGTGAAGTTACAGGTCAGTAAGGCTGCCACATTGTGCCGTGGGAAATGTGAGGTAGGAGGCATGAACCGTCAGTTGGAAAGTGGAAAGTGGTGAAATGCTCACTCTAAATTTTGACAATTTAAAACTTCACGCTGTCAGCTCTATAGCAACCATGAGAAATCTTTCCTTTAAAAAGATAGCCAAGCCAAAACCAGTTTGGCTCAGTGGATAGAGCGTCGGCCTGCGGACCAAAAGGTCCCAGGTTCGATTCCGGTCAGGGGCATGTACCTTGGTTGCGGGCACATCCCCAGTGGGAGATGTGCAGGAGGCAGCTGATCGATGTTTCTCTCTCATCGCTGTTTCTAACTCTCTATCTCTCTCCCTTCCTCTCTGTAAAAAATCAATAAAATATATTTAAAAAATTAAAAAGATAGCTAAGAAGCCATTAGAGGAAATGAAATATATTCCGAAAGAGTGCATACTGACCCAACAGAAGACAGGAAGGTCGCAACAGAGGGATGAAAAATGAGACCAATGGAAGAGAAAGAGCAAGGAGGGCAGACTTCAACCCAAACATATAAATAATTATTTTAAATGTAAAGGACTGAATGCTCCAATGAAAAGACAGAGGGTGTCAGGAGCACTCTAAATCTAAACACAGGAAGAGGTTGAAAGTAAAAAGCCAGATACATTAAGAACTATGGCCACCTAATAATATGATAAACAACGGAAAGTGTTAAAAAAGGGCAAAACAATCAAATAGACTCTACTTCACGAAGTAGACATGTGAATGAGCAATCAGCACCTGAGAAGATGCTCACCATCATCAGTCATCCGGGAAAAGACCTTTAAAACATTTTTTTAAATATATTTTATTGATTTTTTACAGAGAGGAAGGGAGAGGGATAGAGAGTTAGAAACATCCATCAGCTGCCTCCTGCACACCCCCCACTGGGGATTTGCCTGCAACCAAGGTACATGCCCTTGACCAGGATCAAACCTGGGACCTTCAGTCCGCAGGCTAATGCTCTAGCCACTGAGCCAAACCGGTTATGGCCCAGGAAGAGAACTTTAAAAAGGTGAGCAGCCTGTCGATGACAAGTCAGTTGCAGGGGTGAGGGGACAATATACGACAGTTACAAGTGTGAGCTCCGGAACCAGTCCAACCAAATCCTGGTTCTGGCACTTCTCTGCGTGTGATGCTGGTCAAGGTACTTCATGTTGTTAAGCCTCTTTTCCATCATCTTAAAAAAACAACACAACGGTGAGGGGAATCATCATGTGACTTACAAACTGTGTGAATTAAACAATTAAGTACTGCTGGTGCCTGGCACACAGAAATCATTAAGTGTTAGATGCCATCGTCATCATCATCGTCATTGTCGTCATCATCATCGTCGTCATCTACTCTGGCAACAACAGGAATAGGAGTGAAACCCACTACAACACGAACCTCTCCAGGTCATGCTTGTTCTTGGGGCCAGTCAGCTGTCCCCACTGAGGAGACCTTCACCTGCAGCACTAGCCAGGGCTGCTGTGGCCTCCAAAGCAAACGCAGGCTGTGTAACGTCCTCTCACCTGTAAGAGCCAGAGCAGAGAATCTAAAGAGCACGGCCGGCTGGTGGGCATGCAGACAGGCTGGGAGGGCCCACGTCAGCCTGGCACCCCCGCTTCCCGTGCCCAGGCCTTGCTCGCAGAGAGGATGACCCCCGCTGACCCCTCTCCTCTGCTCTGCTTCCTCCCACTCCCCCGTGAACTCAGGTGATCTTCCGAAACGAGGTGACCAACGAGTTCTTGTACTACGTGACGAGTTTCAGGGTCATCCCTTCAGGCGTCATGAAAACCATCGAGATGGCGAGCCCCGTCCGGCAGAGCACATCGGCCTCCGTCAAGGTGGAGAACCCCCTGCCCTACTCGGTGACCTTCGCCACGGAGTGCAGGGTGCCCGACATCAACCTGCCCTCCCAGTTCGTGGTGCCCCCTAACTCGGAGGTAAGACCCCACTGCCGGGAGCCCCCGATAGCTGTGACAGAGGCTCTGCCCCCAGGGCCGCCGGATCCACGTCCCGCACCCCTGAGGTCGGGCCAGCCCTGGCAGGGGTCTGTAGTGTGCTTGACCCTCGACCTATTTTTAGATTCAAACAGATTCCAGATCTCGAAATACCTGGGACAGAAGTTGGGAAGAGGACAGGGGAGGAAAAGTGGGCTGGTTTGGGCAGAGGTTCCCGGGGCTCCAGATCAGTGTGAGCACTGCAGTGTGAAGCGCCACCCCTGCCACCCACCTGCTCTGAGGTGCCTGGGTGGCAGCATCACCGAGGCCCCTGTCTTCCCCCGCAGGGCACATTCTCATTCGAATTCCAGCCCCTGCGAGCTGGAGAAACCTTGGGGAGACTAGTTCTGCACAACAATGATCTGGGTTACTACCAGTATGAGCTCAGCTTGAAGGCTCTGCCGGCGCTGCCTGAAAAGCCCATCCACTTCCAGACTGTTCTTGGCAGCGGCCAGAGCATCCTTGCCAAGTTCATCAATTACACCCGGCAGAAGACAGAATACTACTGCAGGGTGAGCAGCCCGGCCCCACCCCCGGGCCCTGCCCTTGCCGGAAGGCTGACCTCAAGAACAATGGGAGGAGGACATAGGGGTGCGGCACTGTGAACCTGGGGGGGGGGGGTCGGTGCATCATAGAGCCTGGGAACTCCCAGCTAGAAGAAATAGTACATAGTACGAGGCCTGGGTTCTTCCTTAAACACTTTCTGTCTTAACAAGCTGGGAGGAGGGGTGGGGAGATTTGCTCCCCAGCGCATGCTCCGTAGTCAATCAAGGGGGACAGCAGAGATTAGTGGTCATGAGTATAGGCTGTGGGAGCCAACAGACCTGGATTTGAATCCTGGCTTTACTATATTCTTTTTTTTTTAATATATATTTCTATTGATTTCAGAGAGGAAGGGAGAGGGAGAGACAGATAAAAACATCCATGACAAGAGACAGTTTTAAAAATCTGCACGCCCCACACGGGGGATCGAGCCTGCAACCTGGGCATGTGCCCTGACCGGGAATCGAACCGTGACCTCCTGGTTCAGAGGTCGACGCTCAACCACTGAGCCACGCTGGCTGAACTTTACTATATTCTTTGTATGAATAATTTACTAAATCTCTCTAAGTTTCTCTCTACAGGGTGATAATACCCTGACCTTACAGGATTTCTATGAGGACTTTTAAATACATACACAAAACCATTTTCATAGAGCCTGGCCCACGGTAAATGTCCCATATAGGTTACCTAATATATCAGTTGGAATGTAGGCTTAACTCCTGAAACAGAAACCCAAAATGACAACAAAACAGATGTTTGTTCCTCTCAGATAACTGTGGGCATAAGCAGTTTGAGCTGGAATGGTAGCTCGACGACATCAGCCACCCAGGCTCCTGTCCCGATGCTCTTCCCTCTGTAGAGAATTGCTTTGGTCCACATGGACCAAGACAGCTTACGGTGACACCCACATTTTAGCCAGGTACAAGGGAAAAGGGCAGCGGGGGGCGGGGAGCCTGCATATATCATTTCCACTCACATTCCATTGAACAAAACTGCATAGCAACAAGGGGAGCTAGGAGATGTAGCCTTTACACTGGGTGGGTGTGTGCCCAGTCAACATCAGAGCTACAGTCAAGGGACATAGAGGCACTTGGTCAGTCCTATCAGTCAGGAGAAGCTAGATTATGCTGTAATATACAAAGAGCCTCAATCTCTCAGTGGCTTAAAAGCACAAAGGTTTGTCTCTCGTTTGCACTGTCTATGCAGTGAGGCTCAGAAGGGGACTCTGCTCATCACAGCCACTCAGGGATCCAGGCTGACGAGCAGCCACCATCTCACGTGTTTCCGGGCACAGTACCAGGCGGGTGAAAAGTCCCTACAGGGACTTGCATGGGCAACTGAAGACTCTGGTGTGGAAGTGACACCTTTCACTTCTCTCAACTGATTGTCTAGAACAGCGGTTCTCAACCTGTGGGTCGCGGCCCCTTTGGGTGTTGAACGACCCTTTCATGGGGGTCACCTAAGACCATTGGAAAACACGTATATAATTACATGTTGTTTTTGTGATGAATCACTATGCTTTAATTATGTTCAATTTGTAACAATGAAAATACATCCTGCATATCAGATATTTACATTACGAATCATAACAAAATTACAGTTATGAAGTAGCAACGAAAATAATTTTATGGTTGGGGGATCACCACAACATGAGGAACTGTATTAAAGGGTCGAGGCATTAGGAAGGTTGAGAACCACTGGTCTAGAACTAGTCTCACCCGTCCATGAGGATCTAGATCAGTGATGGCGAACCTATGACACACGTGTCAGAGGTGACATGCAAACTCATTTTTTTGGTTGATTTTTCTTTGTTAAATGGCATTTAAATATATAAAATAAATATCAAAAATATAAGTCTTTGTTTTACTATGGTTGCAAATATCAAAAAATTTCTATATGTGACACGGCACCAGAGTTAAGTTAGGGTTTTTCAAAATGCTGATACACCGAGCTCAAAAGGTTCGCCATCACTGATCTAGATGATGCGGTCTTCCATGTGTATGGAAGGAAAGAAGAGCCGGTTATGGGGGGCAACAGCAATGACTGCCACACTAACATAATCCAGCCACATGTCTTTGGGCCTCATTTTCTTTATAGTAAAACCAGAGGCCCAGTGCATGAAATTCATGCACCGGTATGGTCCCTAGGCCTAGCTGGCAATCAGGGCTGATCAGGTTCCCGGCCTCCCTGCCTCCCCACCTCCCCCTTCCCCTGCTGCAGCCACTAGTCACCTGCCATGTTCTGCACCGCCCCCTGGTGATCAGCGCATGTCATAGCGAGCCATCCAACTCCCATTCTCCTGGTCGAATTCCCGAGGGGACACTCTGCATATTAACCTTTTACATATATATAGATAGGAATAACAATTAAAAGTGCTACCTGTCTTCAAGGGAGTTATATAAGGACACACAGCTTTTTATACCCTGCTCGACCGAGAGTGGAGGGACTGGGGATGGACCTGGGCTGCTGCTATACCCACCAGGACCCCGTGTGAACCAGGTGTACTTGTTCTCCTTTCAGTCCGACTGTGTAGACTTCCACACGGAAAAGGTCATCAGCGCGGCCGCGGGGGCTCAGGGCGGCACGGAAATCAGTGTGGAAGTCTATTTCGAGCCCAGCCACCTGGGGGACACCAAGGGCACCCTGAGCCTGTCATCCGTTGCAGGCGGAGAGTATATCATCCCCCTCTTCGGAGTGGCTATGCCCCCAAAGCCGCAAGGTCCCCTCCAGATCCGAGCCGGGTCCAACATAGTCATCCCCTTCAAGAACGTCTTCTACCACACCGTCACCTACTCCTTCCTCGTGGAGCACCCAGCCTTCTCTGTGCGGGCCATGGACTCCGTCCGGCCCAAGAAGACCAACAACATCACCGTCTACTTTGACGGAAACCCATCCGGCAGCAAAACACCCATTACCAGCAAGCTGATCGTGTCGTGCCCTCCCGGCGAAGGCAGAGAAACAGGAGTTAAATGGGTTTATTATCTGAAGGGGATCACCCCTTAGTTGTAACCAGGGTCAATTGCATCCAGAAAAAGCCGTCTCCTCCGCTTTAATATCTATATATTGTTCTAGCCTGGTGAATAGAGGAAATTATCAGAATTCTAAAGGTTCTGTGGTATCCTCCTCATTCACTTCTGTCCAGATTATATGTATTCCGAATACATGAATGAAATATATATTCCATATTAAATGTGGTAACTATACAAAACAGAGCTATATTTTACTTTGCACGGGCAAGTCTCTGAATTTGGTTTCTTAATATAGCCGCAAAGCTCAAGTACTATGTACGTAATCCCCCTTTTTAATAAGACCACACGGGTGTCACACTCATGGCCTTCTGTTGCATAGAACTTGGCACCACAGCTTCTTTTTAAAAATCCATGATGGCTTTGAGAGCCCTTAGACCTGACTCTATTTTGATTGGGTATTTTATTTTGCTTTCACTATTTTCAAAGCCACGAACAGATAAGTGTAACAACAAGGCATCATACAGATGCAGATGAGTTACAACTGTGAAGTGATGGCCAGTGTGGAACCAGGAATATCAATTATCCACTGGTCTAGAAGCATCTAAGCATGGCAGGCCAGAGGTGAGCACAGAGAAGGCCATGGTGGCCATTGGGCTTAATTCTCAGCACCACTGATAGTCCAGTGATGAATAAATAACCTCATTTAGTTGGCATTTTCAAGATAGAGAAAAGAAGCCACCTCTTTCTGGGAACTGCTGAACTAAAGGTAGGACAAAGATTGTCTGGGGCCTTGAGTAAGAAGCTGGTTTCTTAGCAACCTAGTCCAAAATGTGATCTCAGGAGAAAAGAGTTCCTCTGGTATATTCTTACTATTTCAGTTATTAAAAAGTGTATCACATATGGCCCTGGGGAATTTGGTTCACCTTTAAGAAAATGTCAAACCAACCAGCCAAAGAAACAGATGAGATATTATATTACATATGGGTCCAGTGGAAATGAATTCGCACTGGAGAAATAAATCCAAACCATTCCCACTGATTTGATTTTTTTTCATTGTTTTGTATCAACCATCATCAGAATCCTAAAGACATCCACCTTGCAAGACATTTGGAAATGTCCTTATCAGTGTTGCTTGGTATCAAGGTAGGAGGTGGAAACCATTAAGTGATACATTTTCTCTGGAGGTGAATCTTCATTCATTGGACTTTGTTGGCAAAGGTTTTAAAAGCTGTGAAAACCCCACTAGTAAAGAAAAACACATTTTTCACAGATTTTTCTAGGCAGGGTTTTTTCATGACTTATTGAGTTTGGATTCGTTCCTGTATTTGTTTTATATAGCTGCATAACAGATTGCCACAAACCTAGCAGCTTAAGGCAACACAATTTCTTATCTCAGGTGCCATGGGTCAGGAATGGACTGAACCGGATTCTTGCCTCAGGGTCCCCCAGGCTGAAATCAAGATGCCAGCCAGCGGCATCCTCATCTGGAGGTTAAACTAGGGAAAGACCCACTTCCAAGCTCCCTCAATGTGTTGACAAAATTTATTTCTTTGCAGCCATATGACTGAAGTCCTCCTCTTCTTGGCAACTGACAACAGGGAACCACTCTTAGCAACTAGAGACCACCCTAAGGTCCTCACCACATGGCCCATCATAGACAGTTCATTGTTGTTACTGTTTATTCTTTAAGACCACAAAGAGAATCTCTCATTTGAAATCTCTTCTAACTTCTTTTAAGACCTCACCTGATTAGGTCAGACCCATCCAGGATAATCCCCTTTTTAATCAAAGCCAACTGATTAGGGACCTTAATTACCTCTGCAAAATCCCTTCTGCTATATAACATAATAATTGCTAGAGTGACAGCCCTTCATATTTACAAGTCTTGGCCACACTCAAGGGGGAGGGATTACACAAGGCATGTACCCAAAGGGGTGGGAATCTTGAGAGCCATCTTAGAATTCTGCCTACCATAGCCCCTTACTTGTGTTCCATCGATTCTAATCTATGGATTGAGGATAATACTCTATTTCCAGGATTGTTATAAGCTTTACAAGCGTACCTTTCACTCAGAAAAAAGTACCACCATGTGTTATGTTCATATTTAATACTCATTGGGCTCTACTGTGGTCTAGCCCCTTGTTCTAAGTTCCTGTCTACTGTAGAAGGTTACAATAAGGAACGCTGATGCATCTCCCTGTTACTGCATCTTTAGCCACGCTGCATCCAGAAAGTTCTTGTTAAAAGCTTACCACATAGCTTCAATTTCTGCTCCACCATTTAGTGTGACACTCACGGCTCTTGGAGGGGCTGCTGCATAGTGGCTCCATCTGTGGACCTACACCCAAATTTGGGGCTTCTGCTGTCTGGAATCGAGCCCTTTCAGGTATCAGCGCATGGTAAACACATTTCCAGTCCCAAATGGTGGGGCGACAGCCACTGTTGGTACCTGAGATTTTAGGTGGTAGACCGGTAGTTCGGTTTTTTTCCTGAGAATTTAATGTTTTAGAAAAATATACAACTATTCAAAAGCATGATTTTAGGTCATAAGCAAGGATAACGTAGGAATTTAAAAGATTTTAAGTGAGTTGATTTGAGAAAAATATTTTTAAAGTAAGTGGCTAGAATATGGCAAAAATCATGATGGTGTCACTCCAATTTGGGAATCAAATTGGCATATGCGAAATCCATGACTAAGTAGTGAATGAACTGGTGGATTCCGTGAGTATTGAATAAATTATGCTAAGTCATGCTCCAAGAGCCCCTGCCCTCTCACGAGCGTCTGCGGAAGCCCACCAGGCCCCAAGCCCACCACCTGCGGGAAGCTAAGGGCAAAGGATACCCACCCCGCCCAGCTGGTCTCAAACCGGACTCAGGCAATGGGGGGAGGAGGGGTAGAAGGCGGGAGAGTGAGAGGAGGAGGCGGGGCCTCGGGGGCGTGACCAACTCACGATGGGCTGCGCGAGGGGGCGTGGCTGGCAAGGGGCGGGGCCTCGAGGCGGAAGGCGGAAGCGGCTGCGGAGTCACGTGAGCGGTGTAACATGGCGCTGTCCTTTGAGCGCGGCAGGTACCGGGCTGGAGCTGGTCGTGTGAGTCGCTGGGGACAGGTGTACGGGGGCGGGGTCCAGGCCGGGGTTCCGAATCGGCGCGCGCGGCGGAGCGAGGCAGGCGGGCCGGGGCGGCGTGGCCCATGCGCCAGCGCCGGAGGCAGCGCGGAGCCGCAAACTCCCCTGGTCCCCGGCGCAGCGCGGGCAGTCGCGGGCTGAGGAGTCGCGGGGCTCCGGGGGGCACCCCGAGTTGCCACCATGAACCCGGAGAAGGACTTCGCGCCGCTCACGCCCAACATCGTGCGCGCCCTCAATGACAAGCTCTACGAAAAGCGGAAGGTGGCCGCGCTGGAGATCGAGAAGTGAGTGCCGCGGGCATGCAGGGTTGGGCGCGGGGGCGGAGGCGGGACCCGCCCGGGCTGCGCGGGCGCCCACTCCTCGGGGGAACGGCTCACGCCTCTCCGCCAGTGTGGCTGCCCCGGGGCCAGCCTTCAGCGCTGCGTTACAGGGCAGGCGATTGGGGGTCCCAGCTTTGCTGCTGACCGGCTGTGTGACTTGGGCCAAGTTATTTAACCTCCTGGTGCCCAAAGGGCTGCCGTGGGAATGAAGTGACTTAATGTATGTGTAGTGTTTAAGGCTGCAATGAGAATGCAGCGACATGACCTGTGCTCAGTGCTCAGCACAGTGCCTGGCACAGGCGTCCTCAGTGTGATGGGAGGGAGGTGGGAAGCATGAGGATTTGCTAACGAGTTGACCTGCCTTATTTCTCACTCATTCTGAGAAGTGAAAGGGACAGTTACGTGACCCAAGTGGAGAAATCAGGTTCGAAACCTCAAGATCTCAAGGTTCAAAGGGCCGTTTATTTTGTCCCTGTCATGTCACCCTTCCTTGCAAGTGGAAGTAGGAATAATTTGATCTTTCTTGCTTCTGCAGTCTTATTATATGTGTGTGTAACCATGATAGGACATTATGCTCTATTTCCCAATGTACAAAACAAAATCTTTAACTGGGAAGGTCTTATTATGATTTTTCTTCTACTCCTTTACATTTTTGTTTTCTTCCAGTCAGATCTTGGTGATAAAGTCAGGTGGTTGAGTGGGAGATTTCAGAAGAGTAGAAAGAAGCAGGCTGTGAAACTGCAAGACCACCAGTCTGGGAGTTACGGAATATGGATTGTATTTCTGCCCTGTCCAGTAGGGTGGCTAGCCACTGGCCATGTGTGGCTATTTCCATTTAAATTATTGAAGGTAAAATAAAAGAATGTAATCCGGTTCCTCAGTCACACTGCCCATATTTCAAATGCTCAACTGCCACATGCTATTTGGCTACCATAGTGGACGGTGCATATTTTAAAACATTTCATCGCTGTAGAATGCTGTTGGATGGCTCTAATCTAGTCCATAATGTGACACTCGTTCTCTTTTTTCTTTTTATCCTCACTCAAGGATATGTTTTCTTTTTTATCAATTTGAGAGAGAGAGAAACATCGATGTGAGAAAGAATGATCACTATGAGAGTGAAACATCGATCAACTGCCTCCCGCATGCCCCCCAACTGGGGATCAAATCCAAAACCTAGGTATATGCCCTGACCGGGAACCAAACCAGCAACCTTTTGGCGTAGGAGACAATGCTCTAACCAACTGAATCACCTGGCCAGGGCATAACACTCATTCTTTGACCTTGGGCAAATTCCTTAACCCTACCAGACCTGTACCGATTTTTCGGTAATTTCCACACAAAGGTGGAATATTGGCGCTAGATGAAAGGTAGATGAAAGGTAGACCTATTTCCTACAATGTCTCCAAGTTCCATCTTATTCTAACCACTTGTTTGCATGTAACTAACATTTTTCTATATCATGTTGGTTTTTTCTCTTTAATGCTCAGGAGCCCAGGTATAGGGGACAGTTAGGTTCAGGGCCTCAGGTCTGGTAGGATTAACTCACAGTTTCTTAACCTCAGCACTATTGACATTTTGGAACAGAT